CTCCCCCATATCCTCTGCAACGTAGACCAATGTGAAGAACTCATTTAACTTCTCCACAACGGCCTTGTGTTCCTTGAGTGCTCCTTTAGCATCTCAGTTGTCCAGTGGCCCCACTGATTCTTTGGCCAGCTTCATGCTTCTCATGTACTTACAAAACCTAACAGCAATTTTTTTTGTCTTTTGCTACTTGCTCTTCAAATTCTTTCTTGGCCTGCCTGCTTTACACTTACACTTAATGTGCCACAGTTTATGTTCCTTTCTATTTTCCTTACTAGTATTTGACTTCCAATGTTAAAGGTTGCCTTTTTGCCTCTAACCACCTCTTTTACTCTGCTGTTTAGCCATGGTGGCATTTTTTGGTCCTCTTACTGTCTTTATTAATTTGGGGTATACATTTAGTTGGAGCCTCTATTGTGGAGTTTTTAAATAGTCCCCTTGCAGTTTGCAGGCATTTCTCCCTTGTGACTCTTCCTTTTAACCGTCTTCATTTTTGTGTAGTTCCCCTTTTTGACGTTAAATATTACTGTAGTGGGTTTCTCTGGCTGTTTTCCCCCTACAAGGATGTTAAATGTAATTACATTATAGTCACTATTACCAAGCTCTTCAGTTATGTTCACCTCTTGGACCAGACCCTGTGTTCCACTTAGGTCTAAATCAAGAATTGCCTCTCCCCTTGTGGGTTCCAGGACTAGCTGCTCCAAGAAGCAGTCATTTATGGTGTCAAGAAACTTTATCTCTGCATTCCATCCTGAGGTGACATGTACCCAGTCAATATGGGGATAGTTTGAAACCCCCATTATTATTGCATTTTCTGCCTTTGTAGCTTCTCTATTTCCCTGAGCATTCTACAGTCACCTTCACCATCCTGATCAGGGGGTTGGTAGTATATTCCTACTGCTATACTCGTGTTGTACTCTTACTAATGTGACTACATTCAAGTAGTCCTGTTTGAAGAGGACTACATTAACGCAAAGTTTAGTTTGTACCCAAAGCATTCACATGGGAGCAGTTACAGCACAGCATTTTGGTGTGCACTGCTGTCCACATCCCAGGACTCTAATTCTGCAAATGCTTACTGCCAGATATAGTGCTTACTATGGTGAATAGTGCTCCTGATGTGTAGGGGACCACACGCAAGAGTAAGTGCTTTTCCAGCAAGCAGTTGCAGGGCTAGGCCCTTAAGTTCCTTCAGTTCTGAATCACTTATTTCTTTATTGATTCAGAACTGTGAATAAAAAGGAGATTTTCATATAGAGGCTTAGGAAAAGCAGTACAAAATACCTTCAATAACGGCTTCCTATGGTAAATAGGCAGCTACCATGTTTTAAAACCAGACAGAAAAGGTCTTGGGAAAGTGCCATTTAGCAGTGGTAGGCAATGGTAAGCATACATTCTGATCAGTATATTATACAGTCTGCACGTTATTATGATATAGTGAGAGTTCAACTATAATTTAGATAAAACCATGCTGTCAGTTCCAAGCTAAGTTTATCCTCTATTTTTAAAAAGAGCTTTCCCTTCTAATATTGTCAGAGATACATACTCTTGTGATGTACCTGCGTTTTCCATACTAATCCCAGAGCCCTCTGGAAAGCTTTGTTCTTTGGGGGCAATGCAGACTTCACCTTGAGCTATGAAAAGTTTGAGGTAGGGCTTTAGAAGGAGCCATGCCTACTATTCACCTTTGGTTCCTTCCAGTCTCCAAGGCAGCAAATTAGAACTCCTTAACTTTTTCAGTCCTTTGATCATTTTCCTTTGTTATTTCTCCTTGGTCAAGAGTTAGTTTTTATTGTAAACAGTCAACTAAGCATAGTAATAGGTAGAGTTAGTGTCATAAATATAAAGGGAAGGGTAACCACCTTTCTGTATACAGAACTATAAAATCCTTCCTGACCAGAGGCAAAACCCTTTCACCTGTAAAGGGTTAAGAAGATAAGATAACCTCGCTGGCACCTGACCAAAATGACCAATGAGGAGACAAGATACTTTCAGAGCTGGAGAGGGGGGAACAAAGGGTCTGTCTGTCTGTGATGCTTTTGCCGGGACCAGATCAGGAGTGCTCTTCAGAACTTCTGTTAAGTTAGTCAGTAATCTAGCTAGAAATGCGTTAGATTTCCTTTTGTTAAATGGCTGGTAAAATAGGTTGTGCTGAATGGAATGTATATTCCTGTTTTTGTGTCTTTTTGTAACTTAAGGTTTTACCTAGAGGGATTCTCTGTTTTGAATCTGATTACCCTGTAAGGTATTTACCATCCTGATTTTACAGAGGTGATCCTTTTACTTTTTCTTCAATTAAAATTCTTCTTTTAAGAACTGGATTGCTTTTTCATTGTTCTTAAGATCCAAGGGTTTGGGTCTGTGTTCACCTCTGCACATTGGTGAGGATTTTTATCAAGCCTTCCCCAGGAAAGGGGGTGTAGGGCTTGGGGGGATATTTTGGGGGAAGACGTCTCCAAGTGGGCTCTTTCCCTGTTCTTGGTTTAACACGCTTGGTGGCAGCAGCATAGGGTTCAAGGACAAGGAAAAGTTTGTACCTTGAGGAAGTTTTTAACCTAAGCTGGTAAGAATAAGTGTAGGGGGTCTTTCATGCAGGTCCCCACATCTGTACCCTAGAGTTCAGAGTGGGGAAGGAACCTTGACAGTTTTTCTGTTTATAAGTATTTAGGGATTAAGTTGTTTCGGTTTTCTAGTCATCTCTCTCTCCTATCCTCAGTGTGATGGTCATTCTTCCATGATGGCAGACCCAGGAAGAAAGATGAGCTTTAAGACCTAACCTTGCTGTAGAGACAGGAAATCTGTAATGGTATGTCTACGCATCTCCGTGCCAGCAAGCCTCGCAGCCCGGATTGACAGACTTGGCCTCATGCTGCCATACAAACAATAGCTGTGTAGACAATGCTTTGAAGATGCAGCTCAGGCTGGAGCTTGGGCTCTGATGTCCCCCCCATCCCTAGGCTTCAGAGCCAAAGCTCTCGCCCAAGCTGCAATGTCTACACAATTACTTTTAGCGCGGTAGCACAAGCCCCAGTCTGTTGACCCAGGCTGGGAGACTCACTGTTGTGGGCTGTGTAGACATATCGTAACAGACCTTGATACTCAATGCTCAGTGAGGGGTGCTTGCCTCAGGATCCTCTGTCTGCTTGCAGTTTATTACTTGAGCCCATAACTACTTGGGTCTCCACTCTGGTTGATGCTGATGGAAAAAGATATAGCTTCTAGGGCAGAGTCTGAGCCATCCTTTATTTCAAGTCCCATCCTTGAGGCAAGTCAAAGTTCAACTCTGCGAGGGACTGGAATGTTTTGAAGAGTGACTTTGAGTTTGTTACTGAAAGCTTCTTCCTTGATATTGAGAGATCATGAGAAAAATCGGAAAAAGCAGCACCATCACTCCCTAGAGAACCACTCCTCCTCTATAAGATGTAGGGATAGTGGTTCCAGCAGGGATTGACAGCAAAGAGCTACCAGCTACCGAGGTAGGTTGTTAGAAGAAGGAAGGGATTCTAGGTAAACTGTTTCTTTAACAGTGAACTTCCAGGAGAAACACCACCTTTTAGATATCATAGCTCCTTTCAGTTCTTTCTTTCATTGGACTGTCATAAAAAGACATCTTATTTTAGAAATCAGAAATCCTGGTCTGACAGAATACAAGGGCAGTCCTCAACTTCCAGCCATGTGTTGCCAGAGTACACACTCCTTCTCTGGTGTATCCACCCCTTTGCCATTGGGAGCCTCCAGGAGCTAGTGTAGAAGAGAACGTGCCAGCTTTACACCATCCCTGACTTGTTCTTCACAAAGGGAATCCATAGCTGGCCAGATCCATCGTCTTTCTGACCCATTTACATTCCAGAATGGGTCTTATGATTGACCCCTAAGCTTCTTGTGCCCCTTACACCATCCAGCAGAAATGGTGAGCTCCAGGTTTCAGTGGCTGACCTGTTTACCCCTGTGTTTTGAAAGGAGGATGTGGAGCAGCATCTTTGCCCAACATTTATCCCTGCCAAGGGAGGTTATGCTGCATACTTTATATCCTAAGATGACCCATGTTCACTATCTTAACAGAACAAAATTCTTCCTTAAATCCCCTAGACTATTTGTGCGTTAAATAAGAAGCAATTTCCTTTGTCAAAATGGGTTAAAACCTGCTTTAAAAGGTTGAATCGATGGATATTCTTGTCCCTGATAAAGACTCGTTGGCACTGCTGTATGGAGTTCAGCCTGTACCTTTTACACAGCTTTATTCACCTCATTATTCTAAAAATCCAGTTTGAGAGGGGAGTCCTGCAGTCATTTAGTCTTCTCCTCAAATCAGTTCTCTCGGGTTTACCACTTGTCAGTCTTCCAAGTGTGGGTATCTTAACTAACAGTACACAAAAGAAAAAAGCAAGTTATTCAACTATGCCTGGAATTTTTTCAGTAGATTTAGTACAGATCCACATCCCCATTTTCTATCTGCACTTCTTTTGAGTCTGTGTTGGATTCCAATGAAGTAGAAACAAATGAAGGTACATGGGGGTCCACATCTCTTTTTAAGCTTCGCCTGGAATATTTCATAGCTCAAGACAAAGTCCACTTGTTCCCCACTGATGCAGGCTTTGGTGCAATATATAGACACGTTCCATGAGCATGGATCTGTGTAATAAGGTACTCAAGGAATGCCAGCTATGGATGAGTAACTTCCTTTTGTGTGTATTATATTTCTTTAACATTTATTAGTGATATCATATAAGCTGACGAATACTGAATCAAATCTCAAGCAGTTGTCTTCTGAAAATGACTGAATCTCCATCTAAAACTTCAGGTTCCAAACAGAATAAGTAACCCTATCACATGTTACTGTTTTGGTGGTTCAAGTGAAGTAACAATTACTTCTATCAATTACTAACAATTACTCTAATCATCTCTAAAACTGGTAAAGAGAAAATTATATTCACACTTCCTGTGATTTGCTCCTTGTAGCAATCTATACGATTTGTATAGAAGTTTTTATTTTGTTTCTCCAGGGAGAAACTCATTCGTCTTCAGCATGAGAACAAGATGCTGAAGCTTAACCAAGAAGGTTCCGACAACGAAAAGATTGCCTTGTTGCAGAGCCTGCTAGATGATGCAAATCTACGGAAGAATGAACTGGAGACAGAGAACAGGTATGAAAATACATTCCTTTGTTCTAATGACTGTTTTTCTAAATATTCGTACACCTTTGTCTTGTGAAGTCTGTTGTCAGCATTACATTACCCAGGTCAAAGAATCTAGCCATTTTGTATCAAAAAGCAACTCAGTCCACACATGAGCATACCTAAACCTTTCCAGAATTTGGAGCCTCTATCACTTTTCTATTATAGGTGTAGCTTGGCAGAGCATTCAGGATATTGACAAATGCAAGGTCAGAACGGGCAGCCTGTATTGCTTCAGAATCCCCTTCTCTAGTACTGCCACAACAAAAGATGATCCTGCATCCTTGCTACTACCCTTCTTTTCCCCTCTTCATTTCCCACCCATTCTTCCATCTCCTCCTTCCATTTGTCTTTTCGTTCTTTTGAAGACATTACAAGTATCTCCAAAAGGAAAGACCGATAAATATTGTTGCCAGTTAGAATCTCGTTAGAGATTCTGTCAAGTTGATTTAAGTTTTGTAAAATAAAGATTTTGCACAAGTTTAGAGCAATAGAAATATTTTCATGAGTTTTGTTAATAATTCCAGTGAAATTATTAGAATTTGGACATTATCCTGCCATAGTTGCAGCTCAAACATTGCAATATATACTAGTATCATGGGCATGTCTTTTCCACCCTACCGTGAGGTTGTGCACTTGTCTTAAGTGTAGGTTATATGTGGGACCTCTTTTGATGGTCTGACCTTAAAGGTTGATGGAACACAGTGAGTTTCCTGGTAACTTTGTGGGCAAATACTGTTCTACCAACTGACCATGCTCTCGATGGTTTAGTAGGACATAGGACTTCATAATAATCTTTTGTCCTCAACTATCAATACAGCTGCTTCTAATGCTCTCTGTCCCAGTTTTGTCCTCAGTGGTCACCATGATTCATTGATGAAGCAAGAGGGGAGATGGCTAGAGTGCTGTTGGTTGGAGTCTGATGACAAGTCAAACTGATCCTGACATACAGATTTTAAGACTGTATGTTATTGTTACATAGGAAGTAAAGAAGTGCTGTTCAGTCTCTGACAGTGGAACTGTTCTGAGCTGTTGATAGCTTGTTAAATGCTAGTGACCTCCAGTTAGCAAAACAGTCATGTTTTTCTCACTGTGGAGAATTTTCATGTTACTTTGAAGATAAAATCACTGGGATCCAATCTGAGTTACTTCGGAGGAAACAGAATAATATCTCTAGCGGGCAAATGCTAGGTTTTCTTTGCTGCCTGAGTTTTAGCCCTTGTTCCTTTCTAAGGTTTTTGAAATCCTGGGCAGCTTTGAGTTACAACCTATGAGATAGACCCATGTCCCTTCCCAGCTAGGGAGGGACAGTGGAGGGGAACTGGACTGAGTCCATTGTTGGTAGAGATCAACATTGTTTCCCTTTAGGGGACTATTGTTGAGGTCTCTGCTCAAGAAACCAGTCTTGATTATGACTATGTGCTAATGATTGACCAATGGGACATCTGCCTTTTTTTGAAGGGTCACTGAGAAGGTTGCAGCTCGGCAACTCTCACCGTTCCTGGAGTATTTGGATTTCCTTATATCTGGTCAGTCAGGCAGACTTTAAATAATGAGGCATATATTGCATTTTGTTCACTCGTGAGTTACACCTCAAATCCCAAACTCAGAGGTCATAAATTTTCCTTCTGAAAACAAGCATTCAGTGAAATGGATATCAAAGTTGAATTGCTAGGTCAGGCCAGAGTATAGATTAGGCAGGTGATTCAAAAGTTGTGCCAAGAAACCTTTCACCAAACGGCTCCACACAGTTGGCTCAGATGCCAAGTTAGAAGAATCCTAAAGACTGAAGTTTTCTGTATAGGTTATGACATTTTTCAGCAGTATCTTTCTTTACTTATATTTGGACATACTCATTTTTCATGAGGAATCTGGGATTTACACAATGGGAACCATGGTATTGATGCTAGTATTAAAGTCACTTGGTGGCTTCCCTGCCTCGTTGGCCTCCCAGTAGTCCTTGACCCAAAGCTATATGGTCCTGCTCCCTAACCTGTTCTCAATTCTTCTCTGCCTCAGTATGTCCTATAAAGGACTCTGAAGAAAAGGGATTAGTGCAGGTCTGCAGAGGTGGTAATACAGTTAGAGAGGTCCATTTACAGGTAACTAAAATTTCTCCTTAATGAACTACCTCTGCAGACCTCCTCTGTTGGTAGAAGGGAGTATTGATTAGCCGGTAGTATTACACTCCAGCAGGAGGCCTTAGGAGTAATTCTGAGTAAAGACTGTAGAACTAACTGCATTTTCAAACAGGCATCTGATCAAGTCCTAGAATTGAGAGGGTGGTGCTTTATAAATGTATAAATTATACCTTGACTTTAGCAAAGCTTTTAATACGGTAAGTTAAAGAAGTATTGATTGGACAAATGGACTAATTGTGGGGGAGGGATAGCTCAGTGGTTTGAGCATTGGCCTGCTAAACCTGGGGTTCTGAGTTCAATCTTTGAAGGGGCCATTTGGTCCCTAGTCTGCACCGCTACAGACTAGGGACCGAATGGCTAGGCAGCAGTTCTGCGGAAAAGGACCTAGGGGTGACAGTGGATGAGAAGCTGGATATGAGTCAGCAGTGTGCCCTTGTTGCCAAGAAGGCCAATGGCATTTTGGGATGTATAAGTAGGGGCATAGCGAGCAGATCGAGGGACGTGATCGTTCCCCTCTATTCGACATTGGTGAGGCCTCATCTGGAGTACTGTGTCCAGTTTTGGGCCCCACACTTCAAGAAGGATGTGGATAAATTGGAGAGAGTCCAGCGAAGGGCAACAAAAATGATTAGGGGTCTGGAACACATGACTTATGAGGAGAGGCTGAGGGAGCTGGGATTGTTTAGCCTGCAGAAGAGAAGAATGAGGGGGGATTTGATAGCTGCTTTCAACTACCTGAAAGGGGGTTCCAAAGAGGATGGCTCTAGACTGTTCTCAATGGTAGCAGATGACAGAACGAGGAGTAATGGTCTCAAGTTGCAGTGGGGGAGGTTTAGATTGGATATTAGGAAAAGCTTTTTCACTAAGAGGGTGGTGAAACACTGGAATGCGTTACCTAGGGAGGTGGTAAGAATCTCCTTCCTTAGAGGTTTTTAAGGTCAGGCTTGACAAAGCCCTGGCTGGGATGATTTAACTGGGAATTGGTCCTGCTTCAAGCAGGGGGTTGGACTAGATGACCTTCTGGGGTCCCTTCCAACCCTGATATTCTATGATTCTATGATTTAGGGATCTGGGGCAAAAATTGGGGATTGGTCCTGCTTTGAGCAGGGGCTTGGACTAGATGACCTCCTGAGGTCCCTTCCAACCCTGATATTCTATGACTATAAGGTAGATAGAAAGCTGGCTAGATCGTCAAGTTCAATGGGTAGTGATCAACTGCTCAATGTCTAGTTGGCAGCCGGTATCAAGCAGAGTGCCCCAGGAGTCGGTCCTGGGGCTGGTTTTGTTCAATATCTTCATTAATGATCTGGATGATGGGATGGATTGCACCCTCAGCAAGTTTGCGGATGACACTAAGATGCTGGGGAGAGGTAGATGTGCTGAATGGTAGGGATAGGGTCCAGAGTGACCTAGACAAATGAGAGGATTGGGCCAAAAGAAATCTGATGAGGTTCAACAAGGACAACAGAGTCCTGCACTTAGGATGGAAGTTCAACAGAATCCTGCACTTAGGATGGAAGAATCCTATGCACTGCTACAAGCTGGGACCGACTGGCTAAGCAGCAGTTCTGCAGAAAAGGTCCTGGGAATTACAGTGGACAAGAAACTGGATACGAGTCCAACACCATGCCCTGGTTGCCAAGAAGGCTAACAGCATATTGGGCTGCATTAGTAGGAGCATTGCCAGCAGATTGAGGGAATAATTATTCCCCTCTGTTCGGGACTGGTGGAGCTGCATCTGGAGTTTTGCATCCAGTTTTGGGCCCCGCACTACAGAAAGAATGTGGACAAATTGGAGAGAGTCCAGCGGAGGGCAACAAAAATGATTAGGGGGCTAGAGCATGTGACTTATGAGGAGAGGCTGAGGGAACTAGGGTTATTTAGTCTGCAGAAGAGAAGAGTGAGGGGGGATTTGATAGCAGCCTTCAACTACCTGAAGGGGGGTTCCAAAGAGGATGGAGCCTGGTTGTTCTCAGAGGTGGCAGATGACAGAATAAGGAGCAATGGTCTGAAGTTGCAATGGGGGAGGTCTAGGCTGGCTTTTAGGAGAAAACTATTTCAATAGGAGGGTGGTGAAGCACTGGAATGGGTTACCTAGTGAGGTGGTAGAATCTCCATCCTTAGAGGTTTTTAAGGCCCAGCTTGACAAAGCCCTGGCTGGGATGATTTAGTTGGTGTTGGTCCTGCTTTGAGCAGGGGATTGGACTAGATGACCTCCTGAGGTCTCTTCCAACCCTAATTGTCTAAGACTAGGGCTTGATTCCCCCTGCACAGCCTGACAGATCTCATCTATAGATACATCTCGGACCAAGTCAGCAGAAGCAGCCATGCTCCGTGTGGAACATGTCTTTAGACCTTCAGGAACTGGAACTCCAGTCTGATGATAGCAGAGCTAGTTCCATTTGAAGAGTGTGTAGAAAATGCTCTACCAAAGGATTCATTCCTATAAGCTACAAAGAGTTGGTAGGATACGGGTAATGGTTTAGTTTTGTCCAAAAGATAAGACCTCTTTTGATATATAAGTTATGCAGTCATGGCTCACCCACAGGGCTTCGCAGTATTTTACAGAAAAAACAACTGTTTTAGTTACTCTGTTTTTTTTAAACTATTACTCATAATCATGAGTTAACCTGAAGTTACCAAATATACTGCATAATTGTTAAATGGTAGAACTATTTTAATCTTCTAGGTCATTTTTTTTAAAAGGAGAAAGACATAATAAGCTTAAAATGACATTTTTTAAATTTATTCTTTTTGGGTGATAGGAAAGAGCAGGCAAGTCATCACTGTGTGGGTTCATAAGAGAAAAAGCTGCATCTTTGACCCACTAATAATGAGTGTTACAGCTTCCCATGATGTCCAACTGGAAAGAAAGTCATATGAGGCATATCCATACCTGAAGTGTTCATGGACAGAGATGCTCCTGGACAGTGGTTCTCAGCCAGGGATACACGTACCTCTGGGGGTACGCAGAAGTCTTCCAGGGGGTACTCAACTCATCTAGATCAGTGTTTCTCAACTTCGGGGTTGCGGGATGGGTTAGGGGGTGGCAAGCAAGACAGTTGCTTGGAGCCCCATGTAACAGGGGCAGCGGTTGGGGGGGGAGGGGCGCAAAGCTCACTTAAATGCTTCAGCCCCAGGTGGTTGGACTAGGGCTTCAAATAAGGTTCACAAGAGAAAAAGAGGCTCAAGTATAACACACCAATTGATGTATTTTATAATTATATGGTAAAAATGAGAAAGTAAGCAATTTTTCAGTAATAGTGTGCTGTGACACGTTTGTACGTTTGTCTGATTTTTGTAAGCAAGTAGCTTTTAAGTGAGGTGAAACTTGGGGTACGCAAGACAAATTAGACTCCTTACAGGGGTACAGTAGTCTGGAAAGGTTGAGAACCACTGCTGTAGGAAACAGCAGAAGAGTTCGGCCATAATCTCTCTAAAGGCTGTTGCAGACTTTGAATAAATTAATGTGTCTTTGCATCTCTTGTGTAAGTGGGTCAGTACTGGTGGGCACAAAATGTGTGTCTCAGACTTTTGAATGTATTGAACTGTCAGTATATTTAAAATTAAATTCTCTGGAAAAATAAGCTCTAAAAGAGAGACAAAAATCAGACACAATTATTCACTCCCTTTGAAAAGTAAAATTTGTATCTGTTTTCTAGGCTGGTAAATCAGAGACTTCTGGAGGTGCAGTCACAGGTTGAAGAATTGCAGAAATCTTTGCAGGAGCAAGGTTCAAAAACTGAAGATGTAAGTAGAAGTGCACATCATACCTATATTCAAGTACCCACAGTTATCCTAACTTGCCCCTTATGTGATATCAGCTACATATTAAATTATGACGAAATAGTCCAGATGCAGATTTCTGGCAGCTTTTCATGTTCCCAAGTTTAGATTTCAGCAACATGGCCTAAAATTAAACTATGCCTACTTCTTGTAAAACGAGACTCTTGTCTAAAACAAATTACCATGTGTAGAAAAGAAGTGAAGTGCATTCCCTGTCTTGTCATCTTCAGTGTCCCTGTTCCTTTGGTAAATTCAACATTAATTTCAATTCTGTTTGTACTCTGTAGATTAGTGAGATTTAGAAAATCAAGGCCACACTATGTAAATTCACCACTCTCAGTACCATTTAGTAAAATATACTGTGGTTTTTGTTTGTGTTATTTTCCTGAAGCAAAGTCCTTCCTTACCAAAGAAAACCCAGGAATTGCTGTTATAAATGTACCTGCATAGTGCAAATTAAGGTTGAGATTTTACACGTGCCAGCGCCAAGAAATTCAAACCATCAGCCCTCTTACGAATACAGTATTGTCCCTTCGTGCATGCCTTGATAAACCTGACTGCCTTTTTAATGCAGTGTGGGGCAAAGGTACAGTTGCTGTGGAGGCATAGCTTAATATTCTCCACTGAGAATTGTTTGTGCAGATCCTGCTTTTGAGAGCACATGTTTTAAAAGCCACAAGCTCCAGAGCTCTCAAGAAAGCGGTAACCTTTGGGGTTGTGTGTATGCTCTCTTGCATATCCAAATGTATATTACTTTCTAACCCATAGGCGCAAGTCTTCAAGCTGTTGCTTTCTTCTTCGCTGTTACTGTTTAAAAGCAGACTTAGGGCAGGTCTACACAACGGGGCTAAGTCGACCTAAGTTATGCAACTCCAGCTACGTACCTTAGGTCGACTTACTACGGCGTCTACACTGGCGTACCGGAGTCGACGGGAGAACAATTGGCAGTTGATTTAGTGGGTCTTCACTAGACCCGCTATATCAACCCTACTGTGGATCGATCGCCACAGCGTCGATCCACGGTAAGTGGAGATAAGCCCTTTGTATGTAGCTGCTTATTTTGTTTTGAATTTCTTATTTTAATTTAATCTCGTGTTTACCAGTGTAAACTACACCAAAATAAACCATACTTACCTATAATTAGTTATAGGTTTTATATATACAATTTTTTTAAAAAAAATAAGTAGTGTAGATAATTTATTTTGAAGGTAGGTCTATGCCATTCTATTGTTCAAAGACCTACTCTGTGCCCTCAGTTACATGGATCAAAGCTAAATTTTTCTTGGTGGGCCTGGAAAATTGGAAGATCAGTATTGTAATCCATCTGGAAATGTGGGATGTTTTTTAGTTGTTGTTGAAAGTTTAAGTAGTTCCATTTCCTGTCCCATAAAGCAGTAGTAAAAATATTGTTTATTTCTGAAGTCAGGCACTTCTGCAAATCCACGTACATGTGCTCCAATATGTGATCTGCATGGAGACAGAAATAGTTCATTTTGAGGGTGCAGGGCAAAGACAGAATTACCTGGGAATTTTTTTCCTTTGTTTCTTTATACAGGTAAGAAATCACTGGCAAAGCAGTTTTCTTTTCCTAATTTCTTTTGAGGAAGAGATAAATTAGTTATTAAATGTTGTTGTTATTTTAAAATCCACCTCCTGAATATTTTTGCCAGAGTTTCTTTTATGATAACTGTGTGCAGCTGTTTAAAACTACAAATGCTTTTTGTGTAATGACAGTAGGATAAAGCTGACTTCTAATTGCCTTTGAGTATTTATCATAAACGAATAAACTGTTTCCCACATGGGAGAAAAAGGCAAAACAGCTGGTGGGAGTTTGCTGGCTGCTGTAGAGAAATTTCTCCTATTGTGAATGAAGGTTTTGAGCAGGGCCAATGGCAAACAATTGTGAAACTTTGGGAAAATTAAGATGATGTCAATTATTTTTAAATGGAGAAAAATAATTTTTTCCTCCTATCCAGTATAGTAGATTCATAGATACTAAGGTCTGAAGGGACCATTATGATCATCTAGTCTGACCTTCTGCACAACGTAGGCCACAGAATCTCACTCACCCACTCCTGTGAAAAACCTCACCTATCTCTGAGCTATTGAAGTCCTCAAATCATGGTTTAAAGATTTCAAGGAGCAGAGAATCCTCCAGCAAGTGACCCGTGCCCCATGCTACAGAGGAAGGCGAAAAACCTCCAGGGCCTCTTCCAATCTGCCCTGGAGGAAAATTCCTTCCCGACCCCAAATATACCTCAGCTAAATCCTGAGTATATGGGCAAGATTCACCAGCCAGACACTACAGAAAATTCTTTCCTGGGTAACCCAGATCCCACCCCATCTAACATCCCATCACAGGCCATTAGGCCTATTTACCATGAATATTTAAAGATCAATTAATTACCAAAACCATGTTATCCCATCATACCATCTCCTCCATAAACTTATCCAGTTTAATCTTAAAGCCAGATAGATCTTTTGCCCCCACTCCATCCCTTGGAAGGCTATTCCAAAACTTCACTCCTCTGATGGTTAGAAACCTTCATCTAATTTGAAGTCTAAACTTCCCAATAACCAGGTTATATCCATTTGTTCTTGTGTCCACATTGGTACTGAGCTTAAATAATTCCTCTCCCTCTCCGGTATTTATCCCTCTGATATAGTTATAGAGAGCAATCATATCTCCCCTCAACCTTCTTTTAGTTAGGCTAAACAAGCCAAGCTCCTTGAGTCTCCTTTCATAAAACAAGTTTTCCATTCCTGGGATCATCCTCGTAGCCCTTCTCTGTACCTGTTTCAGTTTGAATTCATCCTTCTTAAACATGGGAGACCAGAACTGCACACAGTATTCCAGGTGAGGTCTCACCAGTGCCTTGTGTAACGGTACTAAAACCTCCTTATCCCTACTGGAAATACCTCTCCTGATGCATCCCAAGACTGTAGTCGTAAGGGTTACTTGTAACAACAATAGGTACAACATTTTGAGACAGAAATGTGTTTTTCAACTTGGCAATGGCCTTTAAAAGGGTTTGCTATACATTTTTGTAGCACATCATTTTTACTTAGTTATTTAACTCAAATATATTTGTTACTGTCCCTGAAAATCTTTATATAGTGCTGTAGGTATGTGCAGCAATCTCAAATGGGTAAAATGTGCCATATAAATATCAGCTTGACTACAGTGCAATACAGAACTCATGCATAGGGTGCATAATGCATCCTTTTGCCTAATCTGCCATCACTGATAAGTTATAACTCAGTTCTCACCTTTGTACCTCTTCTTTTTAGTGTTTATATTGTATCCATCCCAGTGAGATTACATGTCCTTTAGAGTAGGAACCTATCTCAGTTGTGTTTCTAATGCACAATTAACATCTTTGGCGTTGCACAAGTAATAAAAACAAAAGCAAATGCATGCAGGCAAAATCAACTCCGTTAAACAGCCACTTGTGGTCTCTACATAACTGATCAGAGCACTAAGTGGGACACCCAGATTTGAATCTTGGTTTAGTCTTCTACTCCCAAGTCCTGAAGGAGACTGGACACTACTAATGCCTTGATCCTTCCTCTTTGAAGTCAATGGGAATAATTGAGTCCTAAGTGTCCAGGGATAAAATACCTTGTGACTATACCACATCTCCTTTACCAGGTGATATATGCAACAGTTTGTAACAGTTGTTTAAAGGAGCCATATGCCTGTCTTCCATTACATTTGGTACAGAGACAGCAAAAGTAAAAGGAAAAATTCCAAGGATGAAGGGACCAAAAACCACACAGGGTTGGATTCTTAGTTGGTGTAAATTGCTGTAATGCCATTGAAGTTGGATTTTCACCAGTTTGTACCACTTGAGCGTCTGGTCCATAACCTTTTGCCAGAATAGGAAGTATATCAAGGAAGTCCCACTCGGAAATAATCAGAGCCTGTCCTCAGAAACAGGGAGGAGAGTGAGTGTAAAAACAGTGTTTTAAAATGCTTAGACCAGCTGAGAGTTTTTCTTGGACTGCACTTAAATGGTCCATACTTGGCTGTGTAGTTAATCCCCTGTTGAGGGGAATTTGGAGGTAGAGCAGTGACTTCATCATTGTACCTTTGCTGGTTATTATTATTTGAATTACATTAGTGCCTAGTAGCCCCGGTCAAGGCCCAGGACCCCATTATACTAGGCACTGTACAAGCAGAACAAAAAGGTGGACTCTTCCCCCAAAGAGCTTACGTTGTTTGGCTTGTATATAATGATGATCAGTGTGAATTGAAAATAGTAATGCAGATTAATTTGACGTGAGATGTTCTGCTCAAAGTCACTCTCCCCAAAATAAATATTTTTCTACATCATGGCCCACAGGTCCATCCAACAGACTACATATTGTTTGACTGTTTTGTCACTAACATGGGCACGCCTTCAAAATGACTCTTAAAAACAGCAACTACTCTCCTATGAAACTCTAGTTTGAGTATGCTGGTTCACATATTTGCTTCTTTACTACTTTTATATTGTTTGTTTTTAGTGTGGAGGCGGAAAAGCATTCATCAGGTACGTCTGGCCTGCAAATAAAAACCCACAGCAGGCCTGTGACAGCTGACTCAGGCTCGCAGCGCCAGGACTATGGGGCTGTTTCATTGCAGTGTAGACTTCCAGGCACAGTTGCAGCTGGGATGGGATAGCCCCGGGTGTCTAACTGCTGTGTAGACGTACCCACACGCTTCAACGCAGTATAGATAATTTGTGCTAGCTTTCTAAAAGTCCCCAGAAAATGAGACAGGATAATGAAACGATTAAGGACAGAGAGGAAGGGAAAATGTGCATATATTCACCCCACCCATAAATAGTTTTAACTTTTTCTGTTCATGAGTAACTAAATAGTTTCTTCTCTTGGCTGCTGTTTTTGCTTCATACTAATATGTTCTCTCTGTCTCTTGGCATGGGTTTCTGCTCAAGGCTATTGTGAGTATGGCTTTCTGTTTCATTAACACTATTATGTTTTTAGGCATTTATGGTTTTGATAAAAAATGAGATGCTTAAATATGTAAAGTTACATTTTGTCACAAATGAAAAATTATTTTGAAGCTTTTTTTAAAAAAAATGTTTATCCAGCTGTGACTTAACCACAAGGTACAGCTTAGGACACCACAGGTGTAAGGTATTTGTGCATCTGTAGTCAAACAGTAAAGACATGAGAACAAAGAACAGGGGGAAAAAATGTAAAGAAAAAAGTTGAGGCTGACCTCCTGTCCCTACTGAAGTCAGTGGTGAAACTTCCATTGATTTTGGTGGGACCAGGGTTTTAGACCGATTTATTTTAAAAGTGATGTTTCTTTAATGCTTTAGTAGTGCAACTCTTCACAAAAGCTTGCTGCGCTGTCTTTTAGTTTCAGATAAAGAAGTTTGTATTACCCTGCAAACATACCAGAGCATGGAGAAAAGAAAACAAATGAAACAGAATTTTTTTTCTAATAAATTGATCTATTCAGTATTGCTCCAATTTCAGAGAAATGGTTGTAAAGCATCCTAACTTCCGTGTGATCATATAACTGTCAAGGGAAGGATAATTACTACAGTACCATAGAGAACTGCTGTAAATGTTTGCTATAAACAGAATGAAATGAAAATATGGCAGCTTTGGTATAAATATAAAATTATGTTTTTCACCATAACTGATATAATCTAAATTTCCACAATTTTTTAAATAATTAACACACTTAACTTTCTATTTTAGTCAATTCTTCTGAAAAAGAAGCTCGAAGAACATCTGTAAGTAATAAAACTTTCCTGTATTGTTTTTGTAATATGAAATAGAAATACTGACTTTCTGTACATTGGAGAATGCTTAGCCAGTAGCAATAGCAGAAAGGTAGCCACTCATTAATGATTTGGAAGATATGTAAGCAACAGAAGTGTAGACAGTCAAATATACCTAAGGAAGCCATTATTCAAGTATTATTTACATCTTGTAGAGAAAGACTTTGCCAAAGAAAAATAATTAAGGAAGAATAATCATTTTATGGTGTTAGAAAATTTGATTAAAAATTTTGTAAAGCTTAAATCAAGAGGAATAGTTCATGGTGTCCTGAAGAAAGCACTTTAATACAAACAGTATTTACTTGTCCATTTTTAAGTATACGTTATAGCAGTGGTTCTCAACCATGGGTACGCAGAGGTCTTCCAAGGGGTTCATCAACTCATCTAGTTATTTGTCTAGTTTTACAACAGACAACATAAAAAGAACTAGGAAAGTCAGTACAAACTAAGATTTCATACAGACAATGACTTGTTTATACTGCTCTGTGTACTATACACTGAAATGTAAGTACAATATATATATTCCAATTGATTTATTTTATAATTATATGGTAAAAATGAGAAAGTCAGCTATTTTACTGTGACACTTTTGTATTTTTATGTCTGATTTTGTAACCTTTAAGTGAGGTGAAACTTAGGGGTACACAAGACAAATCAGACTCCTGAAAGGGGTACGGTAGTCTGGAAAGGTTCAGAGCCACTGCATTATGAAAGATAATAAAAAATAAGGTAGGTGAGGTAATAGCTTTTATTGGACCAACTTGTGTTAGTGGAAGGTACAAGCTTTTGAGCACAGTTCTCTTCTTTATGTCTGGGGAAAGAAGAAGAGTGTCCGGGCTAAATACAGGCTGGGACAGATTAAGCAGAAGGGGTAATGCATTTGGAAGTAGTCACTTTAAATGAAGTAGGCAGCTGGGGGTCAGATTGTTATTCATAAAGGGTTTGAAGTGGGCAATTAAGGGTAACAGGCAGAGTGCCGTGTTATAAATTGCTGTAATGAGTCATAAAACCAATGTTCATGTAAGATCATGGTTTTTGGTGTCTAGCAGAATTATAAATTTTAATTTCCAGGCTCGCCTTTTGAAGGTGGTGTGCTGGTTGCCTTTGAGGATCTATCTAGAGATCATGCAGGAAACCCAAAATAATTATCAAAAAACCTGATGACAGACATCCAACACAAAAACAGAAAGTGGAACCAACTACGTCAGCTCCACGACCAACAGAACACCACCTCTCGGAGAAACCAAGACACTATTACCCATCATAGGACAAAAAGCAATGGGCTTAAATTGCAGGAAGGGAGGTTTAGGTTGGATGTTAGGAAAAACTTCCTAACTGTCAGGGTGGTTAAGCACTGGAATAAATTGCCTAGGGAGGACAAATCTCCATCATTGGAGATTTTAAAGAGCAGGTTAGACAAATACCTGTGAGGAGTGGTCTAGATAATACTTAGTCCTGCTATGAGTGCAGGGAACTGGACCTCTTGAGGTCACAGAATCATAGAATATCAGGGTTGGAAGGGACCTCAGGAGGTCATCTAGTCCAACCCCCTGCTCAAAGCAGGACCAATCCCCAATTTTTTCCCCAGATCCCTAAATGGACCCCTCAAGGATTGAACTCACAACCCTGGGATTAGCAGGCCAATGCTCAAACCACTGAGCTATCCCTCCTCCGTCCCATGGTCCCTTCCAGTCCTATGATTCTGTTGTATGGGGACACCACATGACACCCCAACATCATCAACCTATCAAGACTACTCCTAAACAGAACTGAAGTATCTGTACTCTGCAAGGTACTGATCTTCTGTCCCACCACAGAACCTGATACTCTACTAACATGTGGAGAACTAGAAGAATTCTTCCACTGACTCCACCTCAAGGAATTTTTTCACAACAAGGACATCGCCCACTGCCCCACTAACAGTCATAAGAAAAAAGAATAATCTGACTGAACACTCTCCCCCTGCCCCGTGGATGAAACCACACACTGGATCATTACATTGATTACTTCAGAAAAAAACATACTCTGAAATCCTCAACCAGCATTATAACCACCACAGTCTCTACTGCCAAGAGGATAGTTATACAGTCCCTGAAATCAGCCACCAGATCAAACCTTCAGACAAAGCAGGTGCTGTCGTAGTTCTTAATTGTAATGATGGCATCAACACAGACAACTCTCTGACACAACCTATCATAGAATATCAGGGTTGGAAGGGACCTCAGGAGGTCATCTAGTCCAACACCCTGCTCAAAGCAGTACTGATCCCCAATTAAATCATCCCAGCCAGGGCTTTGTCAAGCCTGACCTTAAAAACTTCTAAGGAAGGTGATTCCACCACCTCCTAAGGTAACGCATTCCAGTGTTTCACCACCCTCCTAGTGAAAAAGTTTTTCCTATGTGACTATATACAAGAAATTCGCTGATCACCATGCTTACCTCCACAGATCCAGCAACCACCCAGACATACCAAAAAATCTGTTATCTGCAGCCAGGCATTCATATACCACAGACTTTGAAGAGAGAGTCTGAGCTACACACCTAAATACACTATAAACTGCCTTCACTAAACAAATACACTCCACCAGAGAAGTAGATCACAGAAGAGAATGGGCCAACCAAATACCCCAAGAGAACCTGTTTTATTACAGAAAAAAAACACATTGACTGCACATTCCTAGTTGTCACCTACCACCCCACACTGGAACCCGTACGGGATATCATCAAATGCTTACAACCCATGTTTGATAGGGACCACACCTTGAAAGAAATCTTTCCTGAACCCCCTCTTCTGGCCTTCAAACAACCCCCAGCCTTGCCAAGCTCATCATCAGAAGCAGCTCCCCACAGACCAGGACACACCAACTAACAGTGGCACCAGACCCTGCCAGAAAAACAGATGCAAAACTTGCAGACACACAGCAGGAGAGATATCATACCCACCATAACATAGCTTTCAAGATTCATGGATCCTACACATGCTTATCAGAACAGATGGTGTACCTCATCCAGTGCATCAAATACTCAGTAAGTATGTGGGTGACTCCACTCTTCAGTGGAGTCACGCAGGAAAAACGATAAAAAACAAAAACACCCTAATACCTGTGGGTGTACACTTTTCACAAAGTGATCACTCCGTATCTGATCTTTCAGTACTTGTCCTCAAAGGAAACCTGCACAGCACCTCCAAAAGTTGAGCCTGGGAACTTAAAATCATAACTTGGCTGAACACCAAAACCCATGAATTTAACAGGGACAGTGATTTTATGGGTCATTACAACAATCTGTAACACACCACACTGCCTGCTACCCTTCATGCATAACCGATCTAACTCCCAGTTGCCTACTTCATTTCAAGTGAGCACCTCCAAAATGCATTACCCCTTCTGCTTTAACAATCTGTCTCAACTTCTATTTAGCTCAGATACTCTGCTTCCTTCCCCAGAGCAGAAGAAGAGCTCTGTGTAGCTCAAAAACTTGTGCCTTCCACAAGCACAAGTTGGTCCAATAAAAGATATTACCCTCACCTACCTTGTCTCTCCCATATCCTGGAACCAACAGGGTTACAACACGACAAACAGAATAAAAGATAATATCTTAAAAATTTGATCATTTTGTTTTACCATTTACACACTTGTCTTAATTTTACACTTTTCTGAACTGCAGTTGTTACCTAAAGTTCTTCTTCAAGTGGTGGTCCCTACATGTATTCCATACGTATATGCGCATGCACACCATGTGCCTGAATCCAGAAATGTTTCTAGCAGTATCTGTTGACACGCACGTGCGTAGGGCATCCCCTTGTGTTCTCAGCCAAGGATATAATAGGGTGTGCGGGCCAATGTGTCTTCAGTTCCTTCTTACCACTGTGTGGCCCGAGTCACAACCCCTGTTCCTTCACACAGGACTCTCTCTCTTTCAACCCACAAGTGGGAGTTACATAATGCCACACTCAGATACTAATTCCACAAATGGGGTACCCCGTGGTGGGACCTCTTTTCCACTTGTGAGAACTTAAAGCTGTCCCTTTATTGTGCCGGGGGGCCATGGGAGAGGACTCGCAGGGCGACGCTCTTCTCCTCCCCTGGACAGGCAACCTCCGCTGTGCCTTTCCCCCCATTCCCCTCCTCCCACAAGTGTTACGCAAGATCCACTGGAACCGAACTACTGTAATACTCGTCACCCTATTCTGGCCCCATCAGTTTTGGTTCATGGATCTCCTCAGACTCTCCATCCACACACCACTCTGCCTCCAAACACTCCGGGATCTCCTCATACAGGATCAGTGCCGGCACCCCAATTTGATTTTTGGATGGGGCTCAAGGATAGACAGAGCATACTCCACTAAATCAGTGCATCCACCTACCTGTTTTCTGCCCCAAACCACATGCCTCCCACGCGGACAGGGTCCTGCATTCCCTCGACATCTGCCGTGTAAATGGCATTCTATCTCCACAGGACTTACTCCTTTCGCTCATTGCCAAAACTATTTGTGGACGTTGCCGACCGATCCAAGGGCCAAGCCCTCTCCTCCCAATGAATCAAATGGGTCTTCAGGTGCATCCACGAATCCTAGGTATGATCCAACATACCACCATCTGATGGAGTCACAGCCACTGTACATGAGCACAAGCAGCCACATTGGCCTGCCATGCAAACGTCTTGTGGCAAGACATCTGTCGTGCAGCAACCTGGTGCTCTGTCCACTCATTCACGTCGTACTACGCCATTGCACAAGCAGCGGCTACGGACACTGCTACGGGCCAAGCCGTACTGCAGACTGCACTTCCCATTGCATCCTCTCACCCACCTCCACACTGATTGCTGCTTGCTACTCACCCACATATGGAATAAGTGTAGGGACCATCGCTCGAAGAAGAAGAAGAAGAAGAGGAGGAGGTTACTTACCTGTACCTGGAGGTTCGTCAAGATGTGTGGTCCCTGTCTGTATTCCAGTACCTGCCGTCCGTTCCCTCTGCTGCGGACTGGACTGCACAGCCATAAGAGGGGGTGCTGAAAAGGGGATGTGTGATCTGCGTCTCTTATACCTTTGGCTGCAAACACGTGTGGGTCAATCGACACTGCTAGAAATACATCCGGACTCCGGTGCGTGGTGTGCATGCCACCCACTTATGGAATACAAATAGGGACCCCACATCTTGAAGAACCTCCAGTTACAGGTAAGTAACCTCCTCACTTAATGACCTACTGGCTTACAAGAAGTGTATAGTCTCTATTTGGAGCATTGTGGGGGGTTAGCCAGTCTTTAATAATATCATAGCTGTCAAAATCATGTATTTCAAGCAGGCTTTGTACAGGTTATTGTAAATTATAAAGTAATTGTAGAATTTTGGACTCAGAATGGAGCTTTCTGATGTTACAACTGTGCATATACAGTAATGTTTTTTCTTCTGTTTTTTAAACAGTTCCATTCTTTGTTCATTGACATCACTCACCATGCCCTAGTGCCTCGCAGCCAAAAGTCAGCTTTGTTATAATTCCCTAGAATTGTAGAACCTGGAATTTTTTTTATTGCTTAATTTTCATTTGAGATGGAGAAGAGTGTTGGAACAATAATGTATCTTTTCACAATTTGTAACAGGGAGAAGCTGCATGAGGCTAACAATGAAATACAGAGGAAACGAGCTATTATTGAAGATTTGGAACCAAGATATAACAACAGTTGTGAGTTTTCCTCCATTAGAACACAGTCTTTACATTAAAAAGCTTGTATGTACGGAGGGTCTTTAATTAACAGGGAACTGTAAAACGTTGTAAAAAAATGGATTGTAAATTTTTAAGTGTTTTATTGATACAGAATTATAGGGAAGTCTGACAGTGGTAAGCAGATATTAATTCTTGCAGAGGAGACTATCAAGATTTACTGACCCAAAAGATACTGCTAATGTTTATAGAGAGGAAGCAGAGGTCACTTTACTAAAATCTTGATGCCCAGAGGAATGTCAAGTTAATACAGTTCTTTATTGGTCGTCATAACCTCAGTTATCCAAAATTGCTGTTATCTGAGATAGGCTCATATCTCTGGTATCTGTTACGTTAAAAATCCCTCCATGCTTATTAGCTCTCCCACAATATGCTGATACGTACTACATGTTGCGTCAACATGTGTTCAGATAGTAGACTGGAATGGTGCTGACAGAGTTGGAGGTTCAGAAAAATCATTACAGTAAATCTTTGGACGCTAGTTGGTCAATGAGAATGTGGCTTTGGACGAGTAGGCCAGTTTGGGATTTCACAGCAATACACCAAGGCCCAATTGAAAAGGACTCTAAATCATAGAATCATAGAATATCAGGGTTGGAAGGGACCCCAGAAGGTCATCTAGTCCAACCCCCTGCTCGAAGCAGGACCAATTCCCAGTTAAATCATCCCAGCCAGGGCTTTGTCAAGCCTGACCTTAAAAACCTCTAAGGAAGGAGATTCTACCACCTCCCTAGGTAATGCATTCCAGTGTTTCACCACCCTCTTAGTGAAAAAGTTTTTCCTAATATCCAATCTAAACCTCCCCCACTGCAACTTGAGACCATTACTCCTCGTTCTGTCATCTGCTACCATTGAGAACAGTCTAGAGCCATCCTCTTTGGAACCCCCTTTCAGGTAGTTGAAAGCAGCTATCAAATCCCCCCTCATTCTTCTCTTCTGCAGGCTAAACAATCCCAGCTCCCTCAGCCTCTCCTCATAAGTCATGTGTTCCAGACCCCTAATCATTTTTGTTGCCCTTCGCTGGACTCTCTCCAATTTATCCACATCCTTCTTGAAGTGTGGGGCGCAAAACTGGACACAGTACTCCAGATGAGGCCTCACCAATGTCGAATAGAGGGGAACGATCACGTCCCTCGATCTGCTCGCTATGCCCCTACTTATACATCCCAAAATGCCATTGGCCTTCTTGGCAACAAGGGCACACTGCTGACTCATATCCAGCTTCTCGTCCACTGTCACCCCTAGGTCCTTTTCCACAGAACTGCTGCCTAGCCATTCGGTCCCTAGTCTGTAGCTGTGCATTGGGTTCTCCCGTCCTAAGTGCAGGACCCTGCACTTATCCTTATTGAACCTCATCAGATTTCTTTTGGCCCAATCCTCCAATTTGTCTAGGTCCTTCTGTATCCTATCCCTCCCCTCCAGTGTATCTACCACTCCTCCCAGTTTAGTATCATCCGCAAATTTGCTGAGAGTGCAATCCACACCATCCTCCAGATCATTTATGAAGATATTGAACAAAACCGGCCCCAGGACCGACCCTTGGGGCACTCCACTTGATACCGGCTGCCAACTAGACATGGAGCCATTGATCACTACCCTTTGAGCCCGTTGAAATGGTGTATTGCTTTTAGAAAAAAGGCAAATGTGTGCCGCCAGTACATTGAATAGGTTGGAAAAAAATAAGTGCCCCATCATCTTTCAAACAACAACGCCAGCATCTATCTGAAGGTGCCAGACAGGCTTTATTCATGAAAGGATCCTGTAAGATCTACATACTATTTTGTTCTGCATTAGTTTGACTGGGACACGTTCCTTAGTTTTTTATCTTCTATAATATAAGACATATGGCTGGGGGACTCTGATAATTCAAAGATGTGGTATTGACTAGTCAGGCCTTTGTAAGATGTCAGCCCACATAATCCTTATGCCCACTGTGTCTGAGCGAGGGCACATTGATAGGGGATGGGCACACTTATGCATCTGTGGGGATGGGAGGGAAAATAGGCAGTGGGAGTGAGTGGCAGATGACAATAAAGGGTTGAAGGAGGAAGTGACATTTTTAAATGGCTGCCCCTTCCCTCCCTCTCCATCATGCACATTATTGAAGATTTGGAACCAAGATATAACCACAGTTGTGAGTTTTCCTCCATTAGAAAACTCACCGAGAAAAGCCAAGCTGCCATTTCAGCAACAGTTTTCTCTGATTTTTCTAGAGTAAAAGCCAATCTGGGAGCTGTTCAATATTACAAATTTGGTCTATCCATACAAGAGAAAAACTTAGCTCAAAAAGAGTTAAAGTTGAAAATGTTTTTCAGTGGAGTCCAATAACCGCACAAAATAATATTACACTTTACAAAAATTCCACACCTTAAAAATGATAAAATGTCTGGAAATAAAGAATATGGGGATTCAGCAACTTCCCCACTCGCTGAACCTCAATATTAAAGTATCTGACACCTTAAAGGGGCCTGATTTTTAGAGGGCAGGTACTTGGAATTTTTTCATAAAGGTGTCTCAAATTGAACACCCAAAAGCACTAGCAGCTTTTGAAAATCTTGGCCTAAGCTTTTATTTGGATAGGCCTAAATGCCATTTATGGAACCTTCTAAAGTTTTTGTACTTCAAGAGTTATCCTACTCTGAAGCGTCACAGTAACCTGGATTTGTGCAGGAAATGGCCCAACTTGATTATCATGCACATTGTGTAGAGAGTTGTCACTTTGGATGGGCTATCACCAGCAGGAGAGTGAATTTGTGTGGGGGGGTGGAGGGTGAGAAAACATGGATTTGTGCTGGAAATGGCCCAACCTGATGATCACTTTAGATAAGCTATTACCAGCAGGACAGTGGGGTGGGAGGAGGTATTGTTTCATATTCTCTGTGTGTATATAAAGACTGCTGCAGTTTCCACGGTATGCATCCGATGAAGTGAGCTGTAGCTCACGAAAGCTCATGCTCAAATAAATTGGTTAGTCTCTAAGGTGCCACAAGTACTCCTTTTCTTTTTGCGAATACAGACTAACACGGCTGTTACTCTGAAACAGTAAAAACTGTGTCTGTAATTAAATTTTTTGGGTTCTTTTAACAGTCATGAGTGGAAACAACTGAAAATATCTAGGATTGTAGGGTAGAGTAAGAAGCAAAATTTTTAAAATAGATAATATAACCTTTCTGACTATCCCTTTCTGACTCTAGTAATGATCAGTAAAGTAGATCTTACTTTTTCCGGTCACATTCTCAGTGTCAGGCCAGGAGAGGATGTTGCAAGTAAGATAAATGGGAGTGAGTGCCACAACAAAGTGCTATTGCAAAACAGATTATCAGGAGTTATGCCTGATCTGAGATTCTCCAAGAACCAAACACTTTTGTCATGTACCATTTGATCAGGGATGACAAAATCAGTCTCTTCAGACAAGTCCTTGGACGAACGATAATCTATACGGATGCTGTTGGCTAGATATCCTCATAAATCAACCCATTCAAGTGTCTGTACAATGAAACTGTCCTGCTGGTCCATAAAACTTATTTATAAAATGTTAAAAATAATTTGTTACTTTTATGTCACATTTTTGGTGAAATTCTTCAGTGTTACCTTTGGGGGAATATGTACAGGGGTTTTTTCTCCTATAGATTTCTTTAACTTATATTTGCCTTAGGTGAATTATACTGCCACAATGTTTTGGAACATGTACTGCATTGCTAACCCTCACTTTTATGAATTAACAGTGAGTTGGCCAATAGTGGCATTAATGAAGGGCACTAGTTATCCCTTTAATTTTCCATATGCTCCAATAGTAACGTTGTCTACAGGTTAATTATTTCACTGGTGCATACAGTGGAGTAGAACACACTTGTTTCTCCCTACATGTGTTTCTGAGTTGTTGAATACTTAACCACTTTGTCTGCTGAATTAGTAGAACATTTTGCTATCCTGACTTGTGCTCTCCTTTACTGAAAAAATAAGTGCTAGCTATGGGTTTAATTTATATTTAAACATACAATATTAAAGTGTGTGTATTTTTAATATGACTTTTTTAAATGCGTTTCTCCCTACATGAAGCACTCAAAATTGAAGAATTACAAGAAGCTTTACGGAAAAAAGAGGAAGAAATGAAGCAAATGGAGGAACGATACAAAAAGTACTTGGAAAAGGCCAAGAGTGTAAGTGCATGGTGCTCTGAGCTGAGGTTTATGTTGCTCACCCCCTCTCTGTGGTAATGAAAATAAATAAAACAGATCTAACAATGTTAATCACCACAGGAAAGGAAGCTAATTAATGGGTTTTGTTGTAGTTTTCAGTTTGATACCAATATGCTACATAGTATTAAGTTTCTCTTCCTGCAGAAGCCTCTACCTCAAATTCATGGTTGTGAAAACCAACTTCCCACTGCCCCTGTTCACCTATCTGTCTTTTATACAAACACCAATCCCCCCATTGGAAGCACCATATTCATTTACACCAGTGGTTCACCCAGACCAGTATTCTGTCCTTGACAGTGACCAGCACCAGGTGGCACCTAGTAAGGTAACAATTTTGTGATAACCTGCCTCATGGGGAATCATAGAATATCAGGGTTGGAAGGGACCTCAGGAGGTCATCTAGTCCAACCCCCTGCTCAAAGCACGACCAATCCCCAAATAAATCATCCCAGCCAGGGCTTTGTCAAGCCTGACCTTAAAAACTTCTAAGGAAGGTGATTCCACCACCTCCCTAGGTAACGCATTCCAGTGTTTCACCACTCTCCTAGTGAAAAAGTTTTTCCTAATATCCAACCTAAACCTCCCCCACTGCAATTTGAGACCATTACTCCTTGTCCTGTCCTCTTCTACCACTGAGAATAGTCTAGAACCATCCTCTCTGGAACCACCTCTCAGGTAGTTGAAAGCAGCTATCAAATCCCCCCTCATTCTTCTCTTCTGCAGACTAAACAATCCCAGTTCCCTCAGCCTCTCCTCATAAGTCATGTGTTCCAGACCCCTTAATTATTTTTGTTGCCCTTCGCTGGACTCGCTCCAATTTATCCACATCCTTCTTGTAGTGTGGGGCCCAAAACTGGACACAGTACTCCAGATGAGGCCTCACCAATGTCGAATAGAGGGGAACGACCACGTCCCTCGATCTGCTGGCAATGCCCCTACTTATACATCCCAAAATGCCATTGGCCTTCTTGGCAACAAGGGCACATGGCTGACTCATATCCAGCTTCTCGTCCACTGTCACCCCTAGGTCCTTTTCTGCAGAACTGCTGCCTAGCCATTCGGTCCCTAGTCTATAGCTGTGCATTGGGTTCTTCCATCCTAAGTGCAGGACCCTGCACTTACCCTTACTGAACCTCATCAGATTTCTTTTGGCCCAATCCTCCAATTTGTCTAGGTCTTTCTGTATCCTATCCCTCCCCTCCAGCGTATCTACCACTCCTCCCAGTTTAGTATCATCTGCAAATTTGCTGAGAGTGCAATCCACACCATCCTCCAGATCATTTATGAAGATATTGAACAAAACCGGCCCCAGGACCAACCCCTGGGGCACTCCACTTGACACCGGCTGCCAACTAGACATGGAGCCATTGATCACTACCCGTTGAGCCCGACAATCTAGCCAACTTTCTACCCACCTTATAGTGCATTCATCCAGCCCATACTTCTTTAACTTGCTGACAAGAATACTGTGGGAGACCGTGTCAAAAGCTTTGCTAAAGTCAAGAAACAATACATCCACTGCTTTCCCTTCATCCACAGAACCAGTAATCTCATCATAGAAGGCGATTAGATTAGTCAGGCATGACCTTCCCTTGGTGAATCCATGCTGACTGTTCCTGATCACTTTCCTCTCCTCTAAGTGCTTCAGGATTGATTCTTTGAGGACCTGCTCCATGATTTTTCCAGGGACTGAGGTGAGGCTGACTGGCCTGTAGTTCACAGGATCCTCCTCCTTCCCTTTTTTAAAGATTGGCACTACATTAGCCTTTTTCCAGTCATCCGGGACTTCCCCTGTTCGCCACGAGTTTTCAAAGATAATGGCCAATGGCTCTGCAATCACAGCCGCCAATTCCTTCAGCACTCTCGGATGCAACTCGTCCGGCCCCATGGACTTGTGCACGTCCAGCTTTTCTAAATAGTCCCTAACCACCTCTTTCTCCACAGAGGGCTGGCCATCTATTCCCCATGTTGTGATGACCAGCGCAGCAGTCTGGGAGCTGACCTTGTTCGTGAAGACAGAGGCAAAAAAAGCATTGAGTACATTAGCTTTTTCCACATCCTCTGTCACTAGGTTGCCTCCCTCATTCATTAAGGGGCCTACACTTTCCTTGGCTTTCTTCTTGTTGCCAACATACCTGAAGAAACCCTTCTTGTTACTCTTGACATCTCTCGCTAGCTGCAGCTCCAGGTGCGATTTGGCCCTCCTGATTTCATTCCTACATGCCCGAGCAATATTTTTATACTCTTCCCTGGTCATATGTCCAACCTTCCACTTCTTGTAAGCTTCTTTTTTATGTTTAAGATCCGCTAGGATTTCACTGTTAAGCCAAGCTGGTCGCCTGCCATAAAGTTCTTTAAATTTCTTCCATAGTTCTTCCATAAAGTTGGAAAGTTCTTTCCAACTCTAGTCAGTTAGTGGGTTGGTTTATGTCTGAAGCTTAAGGGTTAATTTCCCTTTTTAATGTTTATTATGACAGCTATAACTGAGATATTCATAGAAATAGCTTATCCTACTAAGCTCTTTGCCTCAGTGAGTTCTATGGGTTAATTATGTATGCACGGTGTCAAAAAATAATTTGTCAGTTTTAATTTCTTTGGTCTCCCCTTCTTGATTTGAGAGGGTAAATAGGAGCACCCAACTGCCATTCTCTATGCCATTTATTCTTTTATATACCCCTTTATTGTGTCACCTTTTATTGATCTCTTCTCCAAATGAAGGATTTTTAGTACAGCCACATATGCAAGCTGTTCCATGCTTCTAATCACTTCTTTTCCCTTTTCTACCCCTTTTCTATTTTGCTATATCCTTTTCAAGGTGGGGTGCCCAAAACTGACGTAAAAAAATCAAAGTCTTCCTCAAGCCACAGATGGCTCATCAGGCTGATACAGTTTTATAGACATGTCAGTTTCCATAGCCAACAGTACACAAGGGACTGCTGTGGCCTTTTACTTTCCTAATCCTATAGATCAAGTACCCATTTTGCAGCTGGGTGAATTGGAGGCGGCCCTTCAGTGTGAGATCAAGCGAAACTCAAACCCACAACCTTTGGGTTTGTAACTGAGCACTTTAATCTCTCGGCCATCACCCCTTGTGAAGGTGTGGGTATGCCAGCAGTTTTATAATGGCAGTATGGTATTTTCACTATTATTTTCTTTCCTATTCTGAATACACCCTAACATCTTGTTAGTTTTTTTGCATCCACTGACAGATGTTTTCACTGAGCTGTTCGTGATGATGCCTAGGTCTTTTTCCTAAGTGAGAAGAATTAATTTAGAACCCATCCGTGAGTTTCTAGTCCATGACAGAAGTTTACCTCTCCTCTTTTGTGACTTAACAGCCTCTTGTAAAGGATCTCAAAGGCTTTTTGAAAGTCCAAATAAATTATATTTTTCACTTCTTCTTTATCCATTGTGTTACTGACTCTCTCAAAGCATTCTAACAAGTTAGAGGGGCAAGATTTTCGCTTTGCATAAGCTGTGCTGATTTGTCCTGTTCATAGCATGTTGATCCAAGAGTTTTATATAACACTAGCTTTAATTATTTTTCAACAAATTTATGCTTTTTGTGACTTCTGATATTTCCATGATCCTTCCCTAGTGCCTTTTTAAAAAATGGATACAGTGATTATACCCAGTGTAGTGGCTAGATTTAATGACTGAGTACACAGTATCTTCGTAACTCAGCCACTTCATTGTTAATTTCCTTCAGGACTCTTGCATGAATATCATCTATTAAAGGAAGTTTATTAAAACTTAAATGATGATTTTGTTCCAGCATACTCTATTTGACATTTCAGTGTCTGACATCACTTCATCCTCATTACCTATGCAAAGTTCTGAAGTAGGCAGAAGGCAGGAGGAGGAAGTGAAGTGGCTGTGTACATGCTAGCGCACACACACGTTTACTGTTAAAAAGTTTCCAGCGACTTTCTTGGATGGAATTCGAAATCTAGGCCACTTGTTGGACTCTCTCTCTTGCTTTAGTTCAATTTTTATAGGTGTTCAAATGCTACTGTGGTAGGTGCCACATATGAACCTAGGGAGATATCGACCCATCAAACTTAATGGGGACTCTTCATCTCCCTGGCACTTCCCTCGGATTCCTGCTAATGGCTGCAGCAGAGCTACCGGGAGAAACTGACAATGGTGCTCCAAGTCCCTGAGTCATGGTCACCTTCCACCATTTCTTTCCAGTGAGAGGGAGTCTTTGAGTGCAGGGTGGAAAGTTGAGGGAAATATTTCCTGCATGTATCCCTTAGCACTGAGGAGAATGGCTTCAGGGACGGATACCCTTCACCCTCACTCTGTGACACTGGAAGCGGGAGAAGAACTAGTTCTCTCTGACTCTATATTCTTGAGTCCAAGACATCAAGCCTTCAAGCTTTTTGTTTTGATGGAGTCCTTTAAGAGACAGCAGAGAGCAGATGCTATGGCATCTCTTAAATAGGATTCAATTTACACCACCCTACATGGTGAAGTCAGGCAGTGGCAGGACGTTCACCACCACTGACTGACCTAGCAGGGTGGATGTGATTGGATGAAAGGATACAGCATCTTAGAATAGTGTGTTCTTCTCCCACTGTGTTGTGTTAAGTTTCTTAAAACCATCCCACATAGTTACAAGTACCTACTTTAAAAGACTTTAATGTTTCTTAAGACCTATCTTGGATGGTTATAATCCTTTGGCGCTTGGTGCCTTTTATGTTATCTAGATGTATTTAGTGAGATCACTTTGTGGTATTTATTTAAATGAACTGTTGTGTTTGCATCTTGCAGGTTATCCGTACTTTAGATCCTAAACAAAACCAGGGCACAGCTCCTGAGATTCAGGCTCTGAAAAATCAACTGCAGGAACGGGACCGAATGTTTCATTCATTAGAGGTAACAATCTGTATGTTTTCTCTTGGCTGTTCTAGGTTTTCCAGATTTTTTCCATGTTTGCTAGATATGCTCTAGGAATTGTTTTGGGGAAGTGCTTGGGCCTGTGTTACACAGGAGGTCAGACTAGATTATCACAATGGTCCCTTTTGGCCTTGGAATCTATGAATCCAGGCGTTTTGGGTTCAGGCAATGTCTGTCTAATACATATTATCCATTCTTGTCATACAGCTTTAAATGTATGGTCTTTTTGTTTTCTTTTTTTTTTTCTCCCCTAGAAAGAATATGAGAAAACAAAGACTCAAAGAGAGATGGAGGAGAAATTTATTGTGAGTGCCTGGTATAATATGGTAAGATGCTCCAAACTGTATTAGGATTACAATTGTCAGACTTTGTTGGTGGTGTCTGTGTGGCATTTATCATGAACCCTTTTCATTTAAGTACAATATAGTTGTTTGAACAGAAAAAAAAAAAAAACTGTCCTGTGTGCACACAGACAGATGAGTGAATTTGGCTCAGTAATCTATAAACAAGACAACACTAAAAAATATAAATAATTAAAGCATGTACCTGTATCTTGTAGCTATGCTTGCCATAACTTAAAGTGGACACACAAAATGCTGAAAGAGATCATGTTGATAACAGACATCAGGTTAAACATGAGTTCATAATATAAAAGTCAAGTTGGTTTTCCTTCCTTGATTGCTCACAACCTTCAGTGTATTTATTTATACTTCATTAAAATGTCTCTGAAAGAGGCTCTAGACACTGGTTATTGACTGTTATGGTCCCCTACCATGGCAGTTAGCCAAGTTATGCATATTTGGTTTTGTTAATCAGAAATGGTACAGACAGTTTCTCCACACATAGCAGAGAGAACCATATTTGAGAAAACCAAAGCGGAATTTAACCAGAGTACAGTAATGGTGGCTATATAGGTAAAAACAACACTCCCTCCTTCCAATACATGAAGCTGTCCCCTGGAGCATATAAAAGGAATATCAGGGGGAACATGCACAGAGCCAGCGCAAGGCTGATGCACTACTTCCGTCCTCAAAATACAGCATAAAGTAGGGCCACGTGCTTTGCCTAGCCCTTTGGACAGGGGGTATATTTCACCCTGAGTGAACCAGAGTTACCCATGACAGAGGGCATGGCCCCTTCAGAACCACTCTCCTGATAGATGGAATTTCTGATCCTTGTGGTATGTCGATGTCCCAGAAGGGAGCTTGAATCCCTCCCAGGTCCCTTCCCTTAAGATGCCTGGCAGCCAATATGCTCCCTCTCATGTTCATTAATTGGAAAGAAGAAACAATGCTCCACCACATCCTGTCTTGATTATTTGAACCTTTGGTGTGGGAAAGCAATTTCAGATGACTTTGCATAATTTCCTAATGTTATGCTTGCTTACTTGGAGATAAAACATCCCATTAACATTTAAAGGGACAATGACCACTTCAGTTTTTTTAAATTACATCACTTTGTATTTTTCCAGTCCCTGACAGATCACCTTTTAAACAGTGTGGTCTGAAATAGTTTTGTAAAAACTCCTTTATAGTTCTAAGGATTTTTCTGCTCCCCTGCACTATTCAAAAGGCTCTTATAGAGAATTACAGCACCAAACATCCTCGAGCACACTCACTTTCCCATCTTTTCTGTGCACGTGCTTGCCTGCTGCCGCTTGCCTTGTTCCCTGACTCGTCAATACCCTATTTGCAGGCCTAGGGAAGAATGTGCATGTGAACTCCCCCCAGAGCAGTGCAGCTGACCAGCAAACCAGTGAAAGGGTTTGTACATCAAATGCCCTCAGATTATCAAAGTCAACAAACTAGAAGGAGAAGACTCAGTCTGTTGTGACAGGAATTTTCTCTTCTGTGTGACATGAGCCTGAAAACTCTCCATCATACAAGCATTCACAATTACCTATATATATCATGTTAATAGTTTAGATACAGCAGCTATGGGTAAGGATAAACAAATGAGTTCTCATTGCATGACATACTTGAATAGCAGTTCACACAGTCAAAGCAATTTACAGTTTGTGAAGACCAAGACTATAACAGGGTTCAAAAAAGAACTACCATATATATTCAATCGTAAGCTGGTTCATTTATAAGCCGACCCCCCGCGCCCCCCTTCCCCCTCCTCCCCCTCCCCCCCCCCCCCGGATGGATAAGTAAAAATGGAATTTTTATAATTCAGAGGTCGGCAAACTTTGGCTCCTGGGCCATCAGGATAAGCCGCTGGCAGGCAGAGACAGTTTGTTTACCTCAAGCGTCCGCAGGCACGGAGTAAACCTACGTAAACAAACTGTCCAGGTGCACCAGCTGCTTACCCTGACGGGCCGGGACAGCAACTGGTGGGGAAATTTGGGGGGGAGAGAAGCTGGGGGTCAGGGGAGTAACCCCTGTGACCACCCCCCACATGACCCTAGCCCGGGACCCCCACAATCTCCCCATCCCATCCCTTCCCACCTTAGCTGGGGCGGGCCAGGGGAGGATGTCTCTGGCCTGGCCGGAGTCGCTCTGGCAGGCCGAGCGACGTGGCTGCAGCCTGCTCCGGCGGGTGGGGCCGAGCGGCGTGGCTGCAGCCTGTCAGCCCTGGAGCTGCAGCTGCTTCGGAAGCTGGGGGGAGAGCAGCGTGGCCAGAAGCGGAGAGACTCTGGCCCCGCCTCTTCCCTTCTGGCTCTGCTGTCTGTGCTGCTCTGCTTGCCCCCTCTGTTGGGGGGAGGGGCTGTGTCCCCCTCTCTGCCCATTCATAAGCTGATCCCCTTCTCTGATGCTTCCCTTTTTTACTAAAAAATTCGGCTTATGAACAAGTATATACGGTAGATAAATTCATGGAAGATAGGTTCATCAATGGCTATTAGCCAGGATGGGCAGGGATGGTGTCCCTAGCCTCTGTTTGCCAGAAGCTGGGAATGGGCGACAGGGAATGGATCACTTGATGATTCCCTGTTCTGTTCATTCCCTCTGGGGCACCTGGCACTGGCCACTGTCAGAAGACAGGATACTGGGCTAGATGGACCTTTGGTCTGACCCAGTATGGCCGTTCTCATGTTCTTACAAACATCATCCCGTTAGTCCTCACAAAACCCCTCTGAGGGAGGGAATTACCATTCTCATTTTAGAGTTGGAGACAGAAAGGTATTGACTTGCCGCAGGTGAGTGACAGCTGGATGTAGAACCTGGGAATCCCTGATTCCAAATCCTGGACTTAAACAGCTAAACCTCCCCTCCCCTGAATAGCAGCACCCATTTGTGTTCAAAGTGTTGCCTGTTACAGATATGTCATATATGTTGGTTTGTAAATTCCATGTGGCAGAGATTTTGTTTGGCATGAATTTATGAAGTGCTGTATATAGTCTCAACAGCATGGAAATAACAATGGTCTTTTTCCTGGTCCACTCACAAGTTTCTGTTGCTCTTTTTTTCTCTGAAATGACCAGGTCCCTTTAAGGCCCCTTGTTTCCCAGGCCTTGTCTACACTTTAAAGTTTTGCCAGCATAGCTATGCCTGTTGGGAGGGTGAAAAAGTCAGATTCCTAACCAGCATAACTATGCTAGCAGAAGACCTAGTGGAGATGCAGTTAGACCAGCAAAAAAGTGCTTTTGCTGATATAGTTTATTTTGTTTAGGGACTGGTATAAAGTATACCTGCAAAAGAATTCTTCTGCTGGTATAAGCTGAGTCTGCCCTGGGATGGTTTGCTGGTACAGACAAGGCCCAAGTGGGAATGCTGCTAGTTCAGCTGGCTGGCTATTCTGCAGGTCCAGATGGGTGGCTATAGCTTCAGCTGCTTCTTCCTTCCAGGTTAGGCCTCCGTTCTTCTCCACTGCCCAGACCAGTCTCTCTCTCTCTCTCATTCTCTCAATTAGAACTGTCTGAGCGCGTGCTGTCAGGAATTTTAATTTTTAATCTCTCCCAGTCAATCAGCAGTCAGGAGCTAGCATGGCCAATTAGCTCCTGCTGCAATCATCAACAACAAACATATTTGTGTTTTCTCTCAGAACAAATTCCTACCATTTATAATATGCTGATATTTCCATGTGAGAAATGCATTGCTAAAAGTTGAGAAATGCACCTTATTTTTATTTGAAAATAACTTAAAAAAAAAAAGAGTGCCCGGGCAATGTGTGGTTGCAATGTATGCAGAAAATCATGCTCAAGTATGGGAGGGCATAACTTACTATCCTTGAAACCTTTTTGCTTGATTACTACAAACTTTGAAAGTAAAGCAGCCTTTTTACGCTTGCAAAAATACACATTTTTCACACAATTCTCTGGCAAAATGTCAAAGTCCCAAACAGGTTAGATGGTGCTGATAACGCAAAGGAAAGACAAGTGGTAAATGGACAACACGTTGAGTAGCATGCACGAATGTTCACTAATGAGTTTGTCTTTATTCACAGGGAATGACTCTGCATAAAAAAGCAGCAGAAGATAGACTGGCTAGTACAGGCTCTGGACAGTCCTTCCTGGCTAGACAAAGGCAAGCCACCAGCACAAGGAGATCTTACCCTGGTCATGTCCAACCAGCTACAGCAAGGTAGAGAAGCCTGGCCTTTAGAAAGGAATCAACCCTGTGATCCAGGCATACTTTGTTCCACGTGACGTTTCAGGAAATGCAACTAGCATCCTTTCTCTATCTTTATTCCTCGTTACCACTGTTATTTCTCATTGCAGGAAGGGGATTTATTATGATTTCTCATTGTTTTAATGCCCTCCATTCTTATTTTTTTGGAGTCGTCTTCTTTCTCTCTCTTTAAATGTGCCAAAATTTTGAAAACATCCAGAGGAGTGCTTTATTATAATGGAGTTTTTTAAATTTGTATGAAGTTGTCATCTCTTACCTAATGTCTGACATAGGCTATGTAGCAAACATACATTTTCTGTCACAAATGGTATACGTGTACCTACATGTGTTACTATCGTTTATAAGACTCTCTTCGTTGAAAGGGAATTGGTCTCCTTTTTACTATGTAGTAATCTGTTTAAAATAGCTGAAAATCCTTTATAAGAAATGCAAAATTGCTGCATAAAATTGTTATAAAACATGTTTCCTGGGGGGGGGACCCTGCCACCCTAGACATTAGCAAAGGTGCCAACTTAGCTACATCCTGTGACACCTGATGTGGAATGTTTACAGAACAAAAATGAGTTTCTCCTTTCAAGTGAAGAGGTTGCTCCTGTTCTTGGCACTTGGCATTTAATAGGGAAGTAGGATGATTTGGAGACAATTCTTTCATTCTTTTTCTCTTAAAAGGCTTCAGATCTGCTTTTATTTCTCCACTGGTATTGTCTATTGTTTGCTGCCACAGGTGAAATGTTTCAGATTGTTCTCCCCACTCTGATTGGTTGAGTATATCCAAAAAGAAAGATCAAGAAATATTTGTAATGCTTTAATGTGCTACAGCATCATTGATTTAAAAGAAGGTATTTATTTTAAAGCTTTGTAATGGTGGACTAACCATACATCAGGGATCAAGGCCCAGCTGAATATTGTTGAGGTTAATGTATTCAAATTGTCATCTACCACTGAAAGATTTATTTTTAATATGTCAATTAGGAGGATGATTATATCAATTGCCTTACTAATGGTAGCTGTGCCTTTAGACAAGTTTGTTGCTTACTCTATTGAAAACTCTGTTTGTAGTCTAATTCTTTTAACACATACCTGTCCATTTATATGTAGCATCTTCGCTGCATCTTCACTTTGATTGGTAAGACAAGTGAGTGGTTCTCACTGCTGACATTAATTTAGGACAGATACTCCTACAAAGTGCTGAGTATTTCTGAGTGTTCTGAATGCCCTAAATTCCCAATAACTTCTTGAAGAGTTGAAGATGCTCAACACCTAGCACCTCTTAGGATCAGCCTTTATGGATTTACTAGTAGGGGAGCTTCGTATGTGTGTGTTTTGTGACATCACCTTCAACATAAATCTTGCTCCTGATATAGTGTGCGTACAATCTAGTTTCTAAGTTTAAATTTTGTAAAATTATTTTAATCTCTTGCCCAATGCAAAACTTTCCTTCCTATAAATCCCTTCAAAAGTAGCTCACCTTGGCTTTTTTAAGCATTCCAAGGCATATTTTAATCTAACCTTTTGATTTAAAATGGTCATAGGACCCTGAAGGACCAGTACACATGGATTCAAAGACAGTGACATCTGTAAGTGCTGTTTTATTCCAGAGCACATCCAACTGTTCATACCTAATCCATTTAAAAATGGCCATTAAATATATGTTGAAAGCATTTATCTTGATTCTGATTTTCCCAGCAATACAAAGAACATCTTCTGACATCCATGAGCAAAATGTTTTTCTTTTATTCCAAAGAGAGAGAAATAATTTTTTAGTAGTGTTATATGTAGAGTAGTGATCAAAAAGACTTTATAGCTGTTGTCTGCCCTCTGTACTGTGCCTAAAATTAGGTTAGGTAAGATATTTCCTGTAGTATGTGTAAAGCTAACAATGTAAAGGCAGTTCAGGCATAAACTGATATTTGCCTTCCTGTATTTTGTTGAGAAACAAAATGCTAAACAGACAAGTTTCGTAAGTGCCATCTAGCAATATGATTATTCAGACACACGTCTTTTGTGGAGTTCAGACTGGTCACTTTAGGAACCTGTCTTGTGCATAGTGTGTGTAAGGGAGCAAGAGGTAGTCAATGTCCATGAATAAGTATGTACAGCATTTTTCAGCCCCTAGGAAGGAACCCAAGAATATTTAAGGCTTTGTTTTTATTTTTGTCTGTCAGGCTCTTCCTTTGCACCACCATCTGCCAAAATCTACTTGTGAATGAAGGGGGTTCCAAAATTGTAATGGGGAGGCTATATCTCCAAGTTTGTCTACTGAGTCCATTTAAGATTACTGTTAATTAGATGTATATCTGAAAGAAACTCCGATACAATTTCCATCCTAAAATTAAACAACTTGCTTTTGTTTTTTAGTTTTTTCTCTCTCTTTTCTGGCTCCTTCTCCCCCTCTTTGTTGCCACTGGTCCCTCGAGGTCTACTTTTTTTTTTTTGGAGCCCACTCTCTTTTTATTTTGGCCTTCCTCTTCCTTTCCCCACAAGATCAGATACTATCAGAGGTGCTTCCCATAGTTCTTTCTGAGCATCTGAGTGAAATCTGCACTATCCTGTTGAGTTTTATGCTGCTTTTACAGAGGACACTGTGTAGATAGGAAGAGCAGAGACTAACACTGAGTCTATATTTTGCTGCTGTTGTGGATAATTACAAGTTTATATGAAAACTGCCGTCACTATTTCTAATACCATAAATTAGTACTAAATAAAGTACACGTACAGTACTGCCCTGCTCACCTAAAAATGTTGCTTCCCTGATGGGAGAACTAATTTGCATTCCTGCAAGAGGTAAACACCCCTTTTGGGCAGCAACACTTTTAGCTGATAATGACAGAAGAGCTGAGCAGTCCATACGAGCCCTTTCTGGGGTTCCTAACAACTGTGGCAATGTCAGGCAGGCACCTTCTTTCTGTAAGCTTTGTATTAACTAAAATAAAAGCAAACGGTCTAATGCGTAAGCAAGTCCACAAGATTCCAGACTGAGACCACTACTTTACAGTGCTGTCAAGCGGTTGGAACTTAACTTCTTTTATATTCAAGGACATGTGTGGATTCAAGCTTGTAAAGTGCCAAGCATGTGATAGTAGATACATAATAAAGAAGAATATTAACAGTCCATTTTTTCCCTAAGAATACTTAGCACTTGTGTAACGGTTTACATTTTTCAGAATGCTGTATAAACAGTAACAAACTGATTTTAAAGTTAACTTTTAGCCAAAGTGTAGCACAAAAGAGAAGTCTAATATAGAAATACACATTTATAAACGTTTTAAAATGAAAATAATACAAATAGGAAATTGCCAATTATTTTTTCACTGTATCCTTCTTGATATTAAGCAAATAAGAATCCTTTGCAATTCTAGTGTCACCAGCAGGTGACTTCAGTAATTTCTACATTCACTTTAACAAAAATTGCTAGCAGTTTTCTATTCCAATGGATTGCATTAGGAACTTTATGTTCATTAGTGTATGAAAGGGTGAATTTTTAAAATCCTGTTTAGAACTACTCTACCTGCCACTTTCTAGCATTGAGTTATTCTAGCATTCTTAACATTGAGTGGTATGTGCAAGTTGCTAAGATGCATTCAAATGATTTCTGCATTCTTTCAATATTCCTCTACATCAGATTGTCTACTTGGCAGCTTCCTGGATGATTTGTAATAGTTTTTTTTTTTTTTATTTGCTTTGATGCTTTGGCATAGATGTAGTAGTTAGATTATACTTTATCTCACCACTCCCTTTAGACAGTGACTCTGAGGAAGAATACCATGAATGTGTCTTTCCAATTTTTCATTTTCTATGAAACATACTTAGAACAACACCTGGATCTGATGCCTTAGATTGAGAATTTTTCTCTTTACTTTTACTCTTGGAGAGGATTGGGAGGAAAATCTTTTTGCACTCGTAGGGCCAAATACTTAAATCTGACTTCAAGTAGGTTTGTGTGGGTGTAAATTGAATTGAATTTGGCCCTTTATGTTTTACAATGTCTGTCATTAAAATAATTAGATCTCCCCAAAATGATTCTATATAGGACTTAGGCAGTCACATACTTATGGTGTCATGTACAGCAGTGGTTCTCAACCAGGGGTCCGGTGCCCCTTGGGCCACCAAGCAGGGCCAGCATTAGACTCACTGGGGTTCAGGGTAGAAAGCCCTGCTCACCTAAGCCCTGGGCCCTACCACCTGGGGCTGAAGCCTGAGCAATGTAGTTTGGTGGGGACTCTGTGGCATGGGGCCCCATGCCATTGCCCTGCTCGCTACCCCCTAACGCCGGCCCTGGCTTTTATAGGCAGAAAACCAGTGGCTGTGACACAGGTGGGCCGTGGAGTTTTCATAGCATGGTAGGGGGGCCTCAGGGAAAAGAAGGTTGAGAGCCCTGGTCTACAGTGTCTCAGAGACCTGGATTACTCTTGGTGAAGCCTCTTCTCAACAAGACCTAAAATGAGCTCCCTTGCACTGGACAGCAAAATGACTTTCAACCACCCTGCCTTAAAATTACTGTGTTGCCTGAAGCTTGCATGGGATTTTCCCCTTTAAACTGAAAAGGTGAATCTAATGGTCACAAAATTGAGGTATTAGATTAATAATGGTTTGAGCCAAGTCAATCCTAGCTCAGCCTTGCCCACTTCCCTGCACAGTTCTCCCAGCACACTTCACTTTTGGGAATAAAACCACTTCTCCTGCCTACCTGTCTTTTCTCATTAAAAATAGATATAATTTGGCACGATCTGGTGTGCCTGGACATGTGAGCCCGTCACATTTCAAGGGGAAAATCCTGACTGAGTCAGAAACACCCCGACCTCATGTCTGCTGAAGACACTAAGCCCCTAAAACAAGCAAAAAGTGTTGCTATATGTACGCCACTGGCTGACACTTTCAGGGAATTGGAAGGCTTCTCAGCAATTTTATTTCAGATCCTAGTTGGGTCTTGTGGGTCCTCGGCAGTGGAACTCCTCAAGCATGAGCAGTTGACATTTCTTCCCTGTCTGGAATTCAGGAAGGCAATTGAAGCTTGTTAGTGACTCTGCAGCCAAATCTAGGTGAAAACAAGAGGATTTTTTTTCCTCAGCTGAAAAAAGGGAGGAAGATCTGTTCCAAGGTATAAAACTCCAAGGAGCAGTGTGTTTTTCTTTGTAAGATTTTTGCTGCTGTTTGTGCACCGTATGAAGCAGAATACTGAACACCTGGGCTCCTGGAACTGATTTAAGTTAGTTTTTGAGTTACGGCTGACTAAACAAGAAACTCCAGAAAGGTGCTTGTTTCCCATCAGAATAAGGTTGTCTTTTTCAGCCATGCCAACCTCAGATTTTTCCCATTTGGCACAATAGATCTCTGGAGATTCACTGCAACCAGCACCATAGCTGGAGAATTTGAATGCTTCTCTTGTTTTTCCTTTCTTGACTTTAATGTTTTCATTGGAGATTGAGACATGAGTGTCATTTTTAAAATTATCAACTCATTGAATTGGACAGATGGTGACATTTAACAAATAAAAGTAGACTAGAAAGCCCTAGAAAACTCTTCTAAAAGCAATATGCATTGTTTCCCAAACTGCACTATCCTACAGGACATCAAATTAACACCTAACAGTGGATTCAAGGCAATCTAATTGTTTGATATCAAAAACAGCTGATGGGTTAGAAACAGTTCATGACGAATGCTCTACAGTCTAGGTGAAAGGCTGATCCTTTTGAAATGTATGGGCATTTTGCCACTGATCTCAGCGGGGCAGGTTTTCACTCCACATTTGAAGAGACTTGCTGAGATAATGGGGTTTCTCTAAAGTGGTTCTGCACATTGGTTGGTGCTAATGGAGAATTGGAGATTTTCTCTGCTGCTGTTCATTGTGTACGTGAAGCTACTTGGAGAACTGACAAAGGAGGCATAGCCTGACATACTATATGTTGATACCACAATTTAAAGTAAACCCCCATCTCATGGGATCACAGGAATTCTCTCTCAGTGTTGTTCTGTTGCCTCAGATTTCAAAGCGGGTTTGAGACAGCTGGTTGAAGCACTGTCCAGACAAAATGAAAGTTTTACTTTAGGGGAAGAGATGGGACAACCGGGAAATCATTTGTATTTGGTGGCAGCCTTATTTACTGCTAGGTGCTGGCGTGTTTTGCAGTTAGGCATGGGAACAATTTTTGAACAGATGCTGAAGGTTACAGTTAGGGAGAAATGGCTATTTTCATCTTCAAAAAGGTGGACGTTTCAGCCTTTACTTCCAGCTGTGGATCCTCAGGACAATGATCTTTGCTTTTGTGGTGCCAGTTTTAGGGCCACCATTGAAAATGCACTGAAAGATTGCAGCTACTTCAAAACTTAACAGCATTCAGGTGGCCTCTTCCTGGAGGAATCTTTGCTGCCCACAGTTCAGAAACTGCTTATTATTCAGCCATTATGCTTCCATGTCTTGCTAATTTATCAGCATTATTAAAAACCTGTCCTACACTGTCACTGTTCTAACATGGCATGGTAACAAAAATGCCAAAGATCTGAATTGCTGTGACAGAAATAATTACACAGGGAGATAGTAATAGAAAAGATGAGTAAACTAAATGTGGCACTCATCTTACAAAAGCAAGCAAGCACTTGCCTTACAATTGCTATCCTGCAAGTGTAACTTGAATGCCCCTAATGGCATACATTTTAAGAGAACACAGCGGGGGCTGTCCAGTGGAGTTTTGTTGGGGTTGGGGTTGGGGTTATGCCTGCTTTCATTTATCAACTTTAGTGAGAATCTGGGATGAGAGGTGAAGAACATGGTGAGGCAGAATATTTATAAAGTGATCAAGTTTCTCAAGATCCTTACATTGAAGGAGCTATTATTAATAATCAGTATTATTAATACATTTGTAGAGAGCCAAATGGGGAAGTGTTGGAAACACCAGTGAGGAAGGAAAAACGATTAGAAGTAGGAATGAGGAAGATAATGAAACGAGATTCAACATGGAAACATGCAAGATAATAAATCTGGAGAAAATATATCCAAAGCACATACTCACTGGATGCAAATACTTGGGAACGGCATAGTGTAGGGGTGATAGATGACAAATTGCAATGTGACACAGAAGCTAAAAGGGAGAGTGAGCCATCAATTCTTCACAGTTGACACTGCAACCTTTAGTGTCCTCAGCTCTTACATCATTCTGAAAAATAACATTATTTTAGCCATAAATAGTTCATCCCGCTTACAGACAATTTCTCAGATTTTCGGTGGGCTCTGACAATTTCCAATACAGAGTTCTATCCTTCAGAATAGCCACAGCCCCCAGAGTCTTTACCAAGGTTTTGTCTATGGTAGTAGCTCATATCAGATGTCATGGCCTCCTCGTCTTCCCTTACATCAGTGACTGATGCCTCGCTGTCAAATCCTGCCATGAAGCCTTTATGTCAATCTCTGTGATGCTCCGTCTCCTTTTCTCACTGTGGGTCAGCATAAATATCGAATAATCTTTTCTTACCCCTGCGCAATCTTTGAATTTTATCAGGGCAACCTTGAATTCTCACTGCAAAGGTGTAGTTGCCCACAAATAGGTTCCAGACCATGAATGATATCATAGTTCACATCACGAGCAATCCTAGGGTAGAGGTCAAAACATGTCAGTCCCTCCTTGGCCACGAGGCCTCGTGCACCTATGTCACTCCATTTGCAAGATTCCGCCTTCATTGCCTACAGTCAGTTTGCTCCTCAAGTCACCATTCCATGAACTTCACACTGACAGTTCCCGCCAAGGTACTGTCTTCCCTCCTGAATGCACATCAATGTCCTGGAACTACAGGTAGCACGGAAGGTGTGCAAGTCCTTTTTTCCTTTCATCTGCTGTCATCATGTCCTCATAATGTCAGACAAAACTACAATGGTCTTCTACGTCAGCAAACAAGGGGGAGCGAGATCTGCCTCCCTGTCTACAGAAACAGTCCATCTCTGGAACTGGTGCATCAAGAATCAGTCACCCTATCTGCAGCCTACCTTTCGAGGATGCAGAATGTGCTCACAGACTCCCTCAGCAGACACTTCACAATCGACCGTGAGTGGGAACTTCATGACACTGTGCTCCACAACATTTTCACACAATGGGGGACCCCAGGAATCTGTTCGCTTTCCAGGCCAAAAACAAATGTGCCACATTTTGTTCCAGAGGAACCCTCAGTTACCACTCCTACAGTGACGCTTTCCTTTCCTGGTCATACCAGTTCAATTATGCCTTCCTCCTGCTACCATTGCTGCCACGAGTGTTACTCAGGAACCGACAGGACAGAGTAACAGTTATCCTGATCGCCCCTTTCTGGCTCAGTCAGTTTGGTTCCCCAACTTCCTGCGCCGGTCGTCTCCCTTCCCATTACTCTCCCAATATTCCCTGTGCTCCTGAGCCAGTGCAATGTCAGGATCAGACACTCTAATCCACTAACAGTTCTCCTCAGGGCATGGTATTTGGATGGTCATCAGCCCTAGAACGGGTGTGCTCCTCGGCTGTGTGAGACATTCTCTCTTATAGCAGAAAGAACTCAACTAGGAAATGTTACCAATCTACTAGAAACACTTCTCATCCTGGACACAGCATTCTACCAAAAATTATGGGTATTCCACTCATCCTAGACTATATCCTATCTTTAAAGACATCGGGCCTCTCCCTCAGTTCCACGCTAGTCCACTTGGTGGCTGTTAATTCGTTACATCCCCCTATGGAGGGCAGCTCTATTTTTGCACACTTGCTAACCAGTTGATTCTGGAAAGGCCTGATAAGGACTTTCCCACCTCCTCAAAAGATGACACCCCCCATTGGACTTGAATCATGTCCTTTCGTTTCTAACACGGCCCTCCTTTGAGCCCTTAGTGACTTGCTCCATGTCCATTCTCTCCATGAAAGCTGCCTTTCTCATAGCTATCACATCATCTAGGATGGTCGGTGAACTTGGTGCAGTGATGACAGATCCTCCACACCTTATATTTCCCAAAGATAAAGTTTCTTTACACCTACACACCAAATTTAAAGTGGTTTTGAAATTTCACCTTCACCAATCCATTCACATAAGTGTTTTCTTCCTGAAACCACCTGCATCTGCAGAAGAGCATAGGCTCCACTCCCTAGATGGTCAGCAAACCTTGGCCTTTTGCCTACAGAGAACAAAACCATTGAGAAAGTCCTCAAGGTTGTTTGTTGATATAGAGGAGAGAATCAGAGGACATGCCATCTCCACCCAGGGAATTTTCAAATGGATATCTGATTGCATTCTTCCCTATCAGCTCTCAAACTTCCCCTCTCCAATGGGGCTATGAGCACACTAAACGAGAGCCCAGACCACTACTGTAACATCTCTTCACGATGTACTCCTCCCAGACATCTGTAAAGCACCCATGTGGAACTCTGTACACACAGTGCAAGACATTACAACCTAGTACAAGACTCGGCTGCTAATGCCTCATTGTGGACGGTGATTCTCCACTCGACCCTACCATCCTCACCCTCCACCTGCTTTGTACTGCTGGTCAGTCACCCACAGTCGAATACAATAGGGACTATCGCTTGAAGAAAAAGAAGAGTTACTTACCTGTAACTAGAAGTTCTTCAAGATATGTAAGTCTATATGTATTCCACTACCCGCCCTTCTTCCCCTCTACTTCAGATCCTGATTCGGTGGTGGCAAAGGAACTGAAGAGGTGGTTGGTTCACCCTGCCTTTCATCACCTTGGTCGGAAACACGAGGCAAGCCAGGGCGTGTGTGCAGACCAACTGACACGGCTTTCAAAATCTCCGACTCCAGACGTGTGGTGCACCTGTGTAACCCACAGTGGAATACATAGAGGGACCACACATCTCGAACCTCCAGTTACAGGTATGTAACCTCCTCATCCTCAGCTGCTGGAAATCATCATAGCTCCTTCCTAGCCGAAACAATGACACATTCCAGCAGCTGAGGATCTGCCCCTATATCTTGGATTTCTCCGGTCTTATAAGACGGTGCTGCAAAAACAAGCTGCTGTTAAAATGGTAGAAAAATTTCTTGCTGTTTAAATCTTTCCTAGAAGAAGTTGTTAGCAGATTCTTTTCTAGTAATAAAACGTGCACTATTCTAGCTGGAAGGGTAATAGCATCTCTCCCTCTCTAGGACCATAGTGTATTCTGTAACGTCCTTGGCCAGACTTTACCCGTTTTTTCAAAGGACTCCCACTAACACCTTGAAGAGTACATTGTTCTCTCCATTCTATTAATGTGCATTAGCTGTGTACCTTTATATTTCACTTAGTCCTGTTGTACAAGTAGATTTGCATTATCTCACATTCTGATGAGAGTAAAAAAACAGGATTTTCCATTTAAAGAAGTAAACTCTGATCTCAGATAGCTTTAACATTTTAACTTTTTATGGCATTACTAAAATTAATTGTTCATTTTATTATTTCCAATCATCCACACCCCAGTGTGCAGGCTCATTTAGCAGTGCTTGAGTGGATAACAATGCACCTCATCTAAGGGATGTGTTATTCAAAACACACTTTATCAATATTCTGCTTTGAATGCATTCTTTAATGCATTCCTGATTTTCTTTCACTTAATTTGTTAGTCTGTTCTCTGTTGTGTGCACTTTCCGACTTTCCTAAATAAAAAGTATTCTGGTTAGGAGGAAACAGGTGAGAAGGGAGGCGCACAGGAAGGTCATTTTGTTACAGAAATTTGAAAGAGTACAGGCAAGTCTCGTCTTACGCGCATTTAACATGTGCGAATTCAGCTTTGCACGGTCGGCAAAAACAAAACAAAAAAGAAAAATAACAATTTCAATACTGTACCTGTAGTGCGGGCGATTCCGCCTGCGATTACACTAAATGTAATTTTGACTATACACGATTTTCACTTTACGTGCTGACTACAGAACGTAACCCCAGTGTAAGATGAGACTCGCCTGTATACTTGTATTATGTGCAGCAAACTTGAGTTACTGTATTCTTTTGGCTTCAGTAGAATTAAATCATCAGCTACAGGACTTGTGCTGTAGTTATAACTTTTGAAAGAAATGTCTTAACTTTTAGTCATAAAGATATTTTCTCCAATAAATTCAATCCAGATTTTCGTGCCACAAGGAGCATTATTAGAATCAGGTACTTATCAGGGAAATTCTTAGAGGAAAAAACCAAATTCACAGAGCATGTCTTCTATCAGAGGACAGCATTTGCTGTTTACATTGTGCTGGAATTATTGAAAATCAGAATGAGCGGACACTAGAAACAAGTCTCTCTCCTATTCTGTATATTTCTGCAGTAATATCTAAAATTTGCTTTTGATCAAAAACTTATTTTACATCAAAATGACTAAAGCTTGTTAATGTAAGAATGTGACACGGGATGTGCATCAAACAAAGGCTTGCTTTGGTGCAGCTAATCAAAACTAATGCTTAATCAGAATGCTTTTATCTTGTAACACTATGTGGAATTTCTCTCAGACGAGAATGGAAATTATAACTCCATTGCCTTTTTCAATGGTTAAAACTCATGATGTGAGACAGACACCTTTTTACATCTGGAAATGTTTTTTTTTTTCACTGATCGTGCTCACAGGCAGCAAAAATGAGTGAAACTTGTGGAGGCCAATTTCATAACTATTCCTTGAGCTTCGTATGTGTCTGACAAGGCATTCTGCACTAAGGTGTTGGGTATGGCCACTTGGGTGCAGATCCCCAAAGGTATTTAGGTGCTCAGCTTCTATTGATTTGAATTAGGTACCTAAATACCTTTGAGGATCTGGGCCTTGGTCTGTTACTAGGAGTTGTACAAGACTCCATTTTAGGATGTCTAAACCAGTGGTACCAATTTCAGGTATTTTTGGAGGGGGGCAAGGGTGCAATTCCAGTTTCCCCCACCTCCTCCTCCAGCAGAAACCCCGTTCCTGTCACTCCTAGTATCTTCACCCCACCCCACCCGAGGTCTTCCTCGGCTCCAGAGTATCCCCTCTCTCTCTTACCCACACCGTGCATGAGCCTGTGCTGCCAGGACTCGCTTTCTCAACAGACTCCCCTGAGCTCCGCCGCAAAGGAACTCCCACCCCATGTGCCAAGGCACAGCACCATTTGGCCCAGTCACCTATCTGTGTGGAGTGGCAGCCTGATCAAATTTCAGCGCCGTTGTCACCATGCAGCTGGAGCAATGCTCTGGACCACTCCGGCAGCAGCCGTACTGTTCTAGTGTAGGACCACTGCTTAAAAGTGGCCAGGCCACAGCCATCCCCAGCTCCATGGCCTGTGGGGCTTTGACCAAATGCAAAAAGCTTGAGGGAGGTTGGGGACAAATGACCCTCCTCCCAGTCCCCCCAACCCTCCCCCACCCCAGGTGGCAGCGCTGATCTAAACCAAGACTAGCTTTTGTTCCTCCGTTCAGCTGTTAGCACATTAATCATATTGTGAATGCTTTTAGTCACCTTAATAAAATAGCAGTTGAAGCCCCCTTGACCTAGCTGAGCTATAACTTGACACAGCTTTACTAAACTGCTTAGAAAACACGTGTTTTGTTTTCATTTTTAACAGTAATGAAATGTTGGCTGCTTTTTAACTTTCTTCTTTATTTTTTTATTTGCAGTGATGTGGTTGCATGACCTGCAGCATTATTTATCAAACAGGGACTGTTCAGTGCATGACTTGCTTTCTGTCCAGACTGCATAACCCAAAACTTAACCAGTTCTACCACTTAAGACTCATGGCATCTGATTTCAAAGAGAGAGATCCACTTGCAAAGAAGCTTGCCATCTTGGGGAGTGGCTTTACCATCTCCCTCTTCCACCTCCCCTCCAGAATAAAGTCTCCCCAGGAGACTGGGGCCAGGGAAAAACCAGTATTCAGAATTCCTGAGAGGGTATTTGGTAAATTGACACAGTTCCCTTTCAGCACTCCGTTTTTTCTGTCTATCCACTTTGACTACTTCATTCTGATTATTAACACACAACTTTCTGCTCCATTTCCATTTGCTAAGCTAGACAACAGCTAGTCTTAATGAGGTCATAAATGTATCTTTCTGATCATTCATCTGTTAAAGCTCTTGCACATTTGAAGGCTCTGCTCTAATCAGGTTTTAATATTTAAAGTAAAGCCAAGAAAGTTTTCTTGCAGGAAAAAACTATTACGAATTGTTGTTTGACCCTCCCATGTTCCTTAAAAAATAAGCAAGGTATATCTGCTAAGCTCCAAGCCTGGACAAACTATCATGCAATATTTTATTTACAAACATTGCATACTTTCTTAATATGTATATACACAGTAGTGTGTGACTGTTACATTTTTCTCTGTCCATTTAGCTGTGTCATCAGTTTCTTTCAGTAACATTTTTTTCTATCTGTGTACAAAAGTTAAACAATTCTAGAAAGGAACATGAATGGAGATAACTAGTATAAAATCAGTCTACACTTGCTGACTTACAGTATTATGCAAAATGTCCTTGCCAGCTTATTTGGGTTGTTTATATTTTACTTGTTCTATTTGAGTTGTCTTTTTCTTATCCCCGTTTCAGTTGTTTCATTTCTATTTGCACTAGCATGCCTGTTTCTTTGTATTATGAAGTATTGCTATAAGATTTGCAGTATGTAGACGGTATAACTCAAAATGCTTTGTTCTGCCTATATTGACTAATTTTAAAAGCTGCTTATTTAAAATTTTAAATTCTTAAATATCCACACGTTTGTATTACTGTATTTTCATTTTGTACTTGGACAGACAGCACTGGCAAGATACAAGACATGAGGAAATGCTGTTTTGTAGTATTCTAAGTTCATGTGTTTATTGTGTAGATACTGTCGTTTTAACATCTGGGACAAAGGTGAGACCTTGTAAGCCATAGTATTTGCTAAAAAGCCTCAAGAGAATCTGGAATCATTAGTACTGTACATTGTTCCGTTTGATTAGAAGTCCAGTTCTTGAGCAACCCCACGCTTCCTACCTAGATCTCAACCCTACAGAAACTTAGACATATCCTTAACTTTACTCATGAGCAAATTTAAGCTTCAGAGCCTTAGGGGTAAATTGACCCTGTCTTTGTGCCTGCAAAGCACTTAGGAGGCTGGGTAGGGGCAGCACATCCCTTGCTTGCTACAGAGGGCTGCTCTGTGCACCCTCCTTTCACATCAGTACACAGGGATAGGTGGGGCAGGGCTGGAGGAGTTTTAGGCGCCCCTAGTCTCTGCAGCCTCTTCGGAACCTGTAAGGAGCATTCTGTTCAGGACCAGGTCCAACTAGCTAGGGCCTGGGCTCTCACCTTGCCCCTAATTGTCATGTGTAAGTCCCAGGCAACCCTCCTGGTCAAATACACCCCGGGTTTGATCACCCTGGAGGGAAACTGCACCAGATCTGGAGGCGGTGATGTGAGGAGTGATGCAGGGGAACATGTAGCTCACTGTCCCTCTCTCTGCCCTACAGCAATCACTGGCTCTTCTTTGGGGGCCAAAGGGAGATTAGGACTGGGGTCTCTGCAGGAGGTAGGGGAGAAAATAAGGACTGGGATGGAACTGTGTTCCTTATTCTCTCTGCTGGAGGGCAGAGGAGGATGACTCATCCCTCCACATTCCCTCTCTTGAGGGCCATGCAGGAGGTTCTTCAGTCTTATGGGATCCAAGTACTCTGCCAGGAAGGGCCCTCATCACTGCCATCGGGGAGCTGGGGGCTCATCTCTACAACCTCCCAGCCTGCTGGGGCAATGCAGTTACAGATTTCACCACCCGGGGAAGCTCAGGATGTAGGTGGAATCAGAAGTGTCACTAATCTGTCCCACACAGAGGCCTTAGGATCTGATCGGGGTGGGCCAGGCAATACTTGAACAATGCACAGCAAAGAGCCCCCTGGGCCTGGTATGTGACATTTCAGCATTAATAACCGTAGATCCCGTGCTAGGAGGTACTGTATAAACATGCCTTCTCTCCTTGTTGGGAACTGGATGAGTGGCTTTGAGCTGCGTTTTCCAACTCTGTAGTGCAGCTGGTGATGTCTTCCCCAACCGCTGCTGGATATCGATGTCTCCAGAGTTGGTAGTTTTGGGCTGGCAATGCCATTTGACTGTTGAGGGGTTAGACAGAGACTTCTGGAGTAGTGGGTCTGGGTGTGTTGGAGCTGTTCTCCCCGCCACCAGGCTGGCTGTGTAGATTAGTAGTTTACTATTCAAGCTGTTCTGAAGCCAAGGCATTTGTATCTTCCTGAAAAGTTTTTAGCTTGACATAACTGTTTGAGTCTACTCAGTGCAGTAGAGAAATGTCAGATTGAGCTAGTAACCTCAAGTAAATGTGCTGTCTTTCTTTTAATTAAGTTATCCTAGCATCTCTCCCCCAGAGGGTGATCCCAAGCATGTTTCTAATGTGTGCGTAAGAGACTGTTTTTTATTTTCTCAGTGGCAGCTTGTTTGACTGTCCTAATTTGTGTTGACCAGTTATCAAAATAACTGTTTGTGAAATTGTCAATAATATATTTTCTATCAGAGAATGGATTTCTAGAGTGTCAACGCATTAATTTCCCTTTTCAGTTCACCTATGGATTCTTATCCTGTAACTACCAGATTGTCATGGTAGTGGCATTAATATACATATCTGTAAAAAGACAAAAATACAAGATAATGGTCAGAAGAATGCAAACATTTTAATAATGTTTTTCCCAGTCAGATACAATAATGCTTCCAAGGCTACAAAAAAGTGTACAGTTGTTAAACAAGTTGTAAATAAAGGCTTATATAAAATGGAATATCTTGTTTTTCTGGTCTGTTACTGTATTAGAGAAAGTGCACAAAGTGAGGTTTCTGTTAAAATTGTGGGTTTGTTAAATCTGAAGCTGTCCTTTGTAATAAGAAGCTAGTTATGCTATATATTTTTTGATTGACTGAGATTATTAAATACAATTCAATTAAAACTTTAAGGCCTACTCATTACAGGGTCTCAGAGCTGGCCCTACATCCCACCACACAGGGACCTTTCTTGCCACCCTCCAGAAGCACATATCATATCTGTACAGTGTGTCTGAGTTCTGTACAAAAGGTGAACTTTGGGTAACAAGTCCATCCCCTAAAGACTGCACAGTAAAATTACAGAACAGTGAGGTAAGCGGTCATTAGTCATAGCTGGAATGCTTCACTCAACAGGTAGATTTTCAGAAATATTGGCTAGGAGGAAAAGAAAGACTTAACCATATGGGGCTTATGGAAAGCACAAAGTCAGGCATGAACTAAAGGAGGGAGGGAGAGGCCAGAGATGAAGTCAAAACTGTAAGCATGGACAGAATCATGGAATGAATTGAAAGTGAACACAAGCTTGAATGCAACGTGGAAAGTAGATGTCAGTGCAGATGCTCAAGAAAGGGAGATGATTGTGACAGCAGGGGTTGGGATGGTCAAGGAAGAGGCCAGAAGAGAAAGTTGAGGTAGTGAAGAAATTACCAAAATTTAGACTGCAACAGGGATTGGAGTAACAAACAAATTCTGGGCAACAATATAATGGAATAATATAAAGGTGTGTTTTGATATCTCTGAAAAATCAAAAAAGGTTGGCTAATAGTCTATGTTTCCAGGGAAGGCATAAAAAGTTCCAAAGAGACAAATTTCCAAGCAAAGGCCAATAAAATATAGTTCTAAAAATGTCCTTAGTGTACTCCAGAAATGTCAGTTTGGCTGTTAAGAAATTTGTGCCAGCCATGTACGAAAAATGTCTGAATGTTCCCTGTGTGCTCAAGACAAGGCCAAAAAGGTCCTCAAAAACCACAACCATCCAAATATCCAAACTTACGTTAGAAATGGCCTCTGAGACAAGACGAAACCCTAGCTCAGAGTTGTTCCAAAAGGTCTGGATGTTGGCCTCAAACAAACCCTGAGAGAAGTCCCAGGAGTGTCCAAAAAAAAGTCTCGACATGCCCCCAACCAAAGTGTTTGAAAAGATCTGAATATTATTACCTGAAAGTGTGCTAAGCCCTTCCCAGAGAATGTAAGAAGACCTGGTCCTTGTCCCAAAAATCTTAAAGCTCCCCTCCTCCAAATGCTTGCGGTAACTTTATCATTGAATTCAATTGAACGGCTTCTTACTCAGGTGCATAAGTGTGTCCTGGTATGGGTCTTGTGTATTTCCAGTTTTATGTCTGAAATTGCTCCTGCAAAATGGAAAAATGTTCTGAAATGTTCCTGCAGGACTGGAACCTTCTCTGGCCATTTCTTTGGTGATTGTTTTTGGGATCCTTTTCAAAGCATTTTAGAAAGAACTAAAAAATGTACCCTGAAGCACCTCCAGAAATATTCAGTTACCTAGAAACGGTCATAAAATACTACCAGAAATGTCCAAAATATATCTGAAAAGTGACCATCCCCCCTGTATTATCTTAGAAAGTTCCCAAGATTGAGAAAGGACTGCCAGTGGTCTACAGTGGTCTACAGTGGTCCAACATTTTTTTTTTTTAAATTAAAAAGAAAACTAGAAATGTTCCTTAAAGGTGAAAAATATTCCAGCACCATCACCAAACTAGCCTAGAAAGTTCATCATACCGGTTTGCATGAAGATACAACAATTAGCCTCTGAGTTCAGTTGACAACAATCAAACCAAGACAAGTGGAAATGCAAGGCTTCTGTTTCTTGTCTCCTATTAATTGCAGCACAAACATCTTAATAAATCAGCCCTTAAGCAAGCAGCATGTTCCTGGAGACTCAGGGCCGGCAGCACTCTACGGTATGTTCTCTTAGCATGCACCTTCATTGTCCAGTGTGATGTCACACACCGATCTAAATTACAGAAGCTTAATTTGTAAATGCAAACTACCAAAAGACCACCAAGTCCGTCACTTCAACCTTTCAAACACATCCCTTCTATTAAAACATTAACACTATCACTGATTAGCATCTATTTTTGACAGTGTCACCAACAAAAGGATGAAGGTCGCTTGGAAAAATATGAGAACCATAACATTGGGGGGAATGTCCCAGTAAAGTTAAAAAAATTCAAAAACAATCCCCAAATGTACATTGAAAAATCCCCTAAAGTGACCCATTTCAGAGGGATAGTCTGTTAGGAGGAGGAAGAGAAGAAGAAGAGAAGAATATAGTTAGCTCTGAGCACAGGGTGGGGCTCCCTAAGTTTAAACAGTTGGGAACCCTTACCCCCAGGTTTTTATCCTGGCTCTGGGAGAAGAGTGGGGGTTGTTACTCACTCCTGCAATCCTTGCTGTTTTTCACTTTGAAACTTTTTTTTCTCTGCTCCCTTAGGACCAAGTCCCAGCTCATGTCTCTTAAGGTGGTCTGTTAACTCTGCTTCTGACTCCAAACTGTTTGTGCCAAATCATCTTTAACCACCCCTAACTCTAATTTACAATTCTCCAGTAGCCTTCGCTGGAGTAGCACTAACTTGAAAGATTACTGGCAGCTTCCCATAATGCTGCCTTTACTTCAAACCTCCTATCAGCGGACTTAAGTGCCTCCTGCCCTGGAAGGCATCTTGTCCCCTGGGCACGGACCTCCTTCCGCTACCCATTTACCAAGGAGGGTGGGCTCCTCAGCCAGTCCCCATCCCCCTGGATCCCCTAACACTGCTCCCATTTCCTCCTTAATCTCATCCCAGGTTGACCCCCCGCACCTGGGATGGGCCCTGATTCTTCCATATCCACTTATCCAAAAAGACCATTACCCCAGCTTGCAAGGACCCACAGCTACCATTATGAGAGCCTGCCATACCCCTCCAAGCATCTGCGTGGACAGTTGGGGAGAGGGACTTACCTGGCTGTAGGGTAACCAGGTGTTCCGATTTTATAGGGACAGTCCTGATTTTTGGGTCTTTTTCTTATATAGGCTCCTACTACCCCCCACCCCGTCCCGATTTTTCACACTTGCTGTCCAGTCACCCTACCTGGCTGCTACTTACCTGTCCAGCGTGATGCATCCGAGTCAGGCCACCAAGACCCTCCCGCTTCCCTGCTTCTTGTCATGCAGACAGCAAGCAGTAAAAGACCAGAAGTCCGAAGCACAGACAATGCAATGTTAATTGGGGTTAGTTTCCAAGCAAGCATATTTTACACCAGTTGGGCTTATCTCTACATTCCAGTAGAGTCTGTTCCCCAGTGTTCCCTTCCCAGTTCTGATGCCGCAGAGCGTTTACCCTGCATCCCCCTTCCCGGCTCTGACGCCGCAGAGCCTTGCCTGAGTCCCTGTTCCCCGTTCCGCCCCCTTTAGCAAGCATGATTCCAATTTCCCTTCCCCCCCACTTCCTGTTTGACCCCAGATTATATAGTAATAGTCTCAGCTATACCTTAACCAATCATTTTACTTAAATTCAACTAACAAATCCTAGCATATTGTAACATAATTCTCTAACCAATTATATCCCATTACCCTAATTAACTTACACCTAGCAAAATTAATTATACAGCAGACAAACAATTAGAGAACCAGACAGAATAACAATAGAAAAGTGGGGGCCATAAAGATTAAAACATACAGGAATGAGGGTTTCACAACCACTGATAAGTGATTTCTTGCCAGACAGGATGCTGTCAAACTAAGTTTTCTTCAACCATCTTAAGATCTGTTTATCTGGTGGTGATGGGCATTATCAGGACAGGATCATCTTCCTAACAGCCCAATAGCACCTTATTTCAGTGTGACTGGTTTGGAATGTGAGGATGGGACCATATGCCTCCCAGTTTATGGCTGCCCCTGCTGCTTAGCCAAAGGCCTTAGCCTAACAACAAGGCCTCCCATTATCTTGGTGAGAGAAGGCCCATATACAGGCAGACTGTGATTTGGATTTGTTGTTTTAATACTCCTGTAACTAGCTAAGTGATAAAAATACACCCAAGTTCTTAAAGTATAGGCCTTTACAGGCAGGCCTGAATATTTATATTCTAACAAGTATGCACAACCTGGTGGACTTTCACCCTCCTGTTCAGCTTCCAGTATAAAGGGGCAGCCACATCTTTTTTAACCACATCAGCAAGCATGCAGTTGAAATCAGTGCAAATGCTTAGTTAAGCAATTAAAGTCCTCTGAATTCATAGAATCATAGAATATGAGGGTTGGAAGAGACCTCAGGAGGTCATCTAATCCAACCCCCTGCTCAAAGCAGGACCAATCCCCAACTAAATCACCCCAGCCAGGGCTTTGTCAAGCCTGACCTTAAAAACCTCAAAGGAAGGAGATTCCACCACCTCCCTAGACAACGCATCACCACCCTCCTAGTGAAAAAGTTTTTCCTAACATCCAACCTAAAACTCTCCCACTGCAAATTGAGACCATTACTCCTCTTTCCGTCATCTGCCACCACTGAGAACAGCCGAGCTCCATCCTCTTTGGAACCTCCTTTCAGGTAGTTGATGGCTGCTATCAAATCCCCCCTCACTCTTGTCTTCTGCAGATTAAACAAGCCTAGTTCCCTCAGCCTCTCCTCATAACTCATGTGCCCCCGGCCCCTAATCATTTCGCTGCCCTCCAATTTGTTCACATCCTTTCTGTAGTGGGGGGCCCAAAACTGGACGCAATACTCTAGGTGTGGCCTCACCAGTGCTGAATAGAGAGGAATAATCACCTCCCTCGATCTGCTGGCAATGCTCCTATGAATACAGCCAAATATGCCATTAGTCTTCTTGGCAACAAGGGCACACTGCTGACTCATATCCAGCTTCTCGTCCACTGTAATCCCCAGGTCCTTTTCATTAAGAGAAGGAAAGATGGTAGGGCACAGGACCGAGACTCAAGAGACTTGGTAACAATTCCTGGTTC